ATCATCAAAATATCGTTATAGGGAGGTTCCGTTATATCGGAGCTGTGCGAAGATCTGGACCAGCATAGACAATTTTCTGTCATGAAGCATACATTACGAAGTTCAAATACGACATATCAAACAATGTCGGTGGGTATTGTACCTAAACTCGTCAAAATACCGAATATAGGGAGGTTGTGATATATGGGGCCTATACGAAAACCTGGAACTGCATAGACAATTTTCTCTTACATATTGTAGATCCCATTACGAATTCTAAATACGTAATTTGAAACAATTCCGGTGAATAATGTAGCTAAAATCATCAAAATACCGAATATTCGGGAGGTACCGTTATATGGTGGCTATACGAAGACGTGGACCTACATGGCCCATTCACGAACTTAACCTGCCCACTGAAAAAATAAACATGTGTGCAAAATTTTAGCCTTCTATCTTAATTCGTTCAAAAGATAGCGTGATTAAAAACGGAATGACAAAGTTAATATACCATCCATAGTATGGTGGAGGGTATAAAAAACGTAAGTTCATACATGGCTGCTTTGTTGTACGAGTTTACAGAACTTCAACTGCATTTGAAGCTATGGGTTTTATGGGTGAACATAATTGTTTATAAAAATGTATGTCTGAAAGTTTTAACCACATGTTAAAACTTCTTAAAATATCATATTTTTTAAAAATATGTATGCTCTTCATGCATATGAAATATTTATATAATATACGATCTCAATTTTTGAATAAAACAGCATTTAGTTAAAAATAGTGTTTTATTGACAATTTTGCCATTTTGGTTAGAAAAAAATACATAGCGCTTTTTACGCTTTTTTAAGGAAAGTTTTTACGCCATTTACGCTTTTCTGGTTTTTAATTACGATTTTAGCTCTCAAATTGATTGACATCATTATAGGCATCTTTTTATGCGATTTTTTTTAGATTTTATACTTTTATACCAAGAGGGCATTCGGAATCGATCCAGTCGTTCTTGAGATATAAGCATTCTAGCTAACATCCCCTTAATTTGTATATATACATTGTATATATTTCGCTATGTATATCCGATATATTTACAATCGGCATCTACGTAATGGTCAAAATTGAGCTATTGGTCCATTTGTGATTTCGCCAAAATTAAAAAATATTCGCGGTTTAATGGAAAATTTGACTTTTATTTAACACAAATGTTATGGTCTATTTCACCCACTAAATATTACCGGATGACCATCAAAATTGGAAGGTTTCTGCCCAGCCCTAAGCTCTAGCCCCATGCTGGCGTTAATTAATTTTTGGCCCAATCAAACTTAGTGTTGTAGGGTATAGTGTTGTAGGGTATAAAAATCAGCAAAGTTCGGCCGGGCCGAAGGATCTTAAAAAATCTAAAAAAAATCCGTCGAAAAATACCACTTAAATTAAAACCGTTATATGGGGGCTATACAAAGACGTGGACCTGCATAATTTGTTGTCATATGCTGTAATACCGATTCCGAACTTCAAAAACGAAATTTGAAACAATTCCGTTGAGTAGTGTCGCTAATATCATCAAACTTGAAACAATTCCGGTGATTAATGTTGCTAATATCATCAAAAACCGTATAAAGGGTAGTACTGTTATATGGAGGATATACAATGTCGTGGACCTATATAGACAATTCTCTTCCAGGGAGTAAATTACTCAAAAGGAACTCCTTGTCCTATCTCCCAGGAGGTACTTACAAACTTACAAAGAACTCATTATGTGGATTTTCAGGCAATTCCATTGAAAAATGTGGCTTAAATGGTGAAAACATCGAATATAGGTGAGCACCGTTATATGGGGGATATACGATATCGTGGACCTATATAGACGAGTCTCTTTTAGATACAAAGTACTCAGAGAGAGTGAACTCCTTGGATGGATTTTCAGAGAATTCCATTGGACGGATACTCCATACTATGTATGGATGGAATACAAATAAAAGTAACTTTAATAGAGGATGAAAGATTCCCCCTCCACCATATTTTTGGAAATATTGAAAAAAAGTACCCATGCATTCATATACAGAACGAGATAAAAACAAGTAAGCAAAGGCTACAGTCGAGCGGGGCCGACCGTTGAATACCCTACAACACTATAATAAAAGATACAGTTTATATAGACGAGATACTCGAAAGAATTCCACAAGATATTGTGACAAATAATAAAAGAAAACCATCAGGTTTCATTCTCTAATTTTCTAATAATAGCAACTTAAACTAATTTGCTCATTTCCAATTCATTGGTAGATGTTGCACTTAAATGGTCTTCCAAGATCTGGAACCAATATTTCCCAAAGACCTATAATCTCTCAGAAGTGGCAAAAGATTAACATTTATTATTGGTTTTTGACTGAAACACATCTATATGAGATACAGACATTTGACTATATTCTTCAACGAAATCTGCGAAATAGTCAGAAGTGTGTCTTTCCTGTATTTGTGAATTCTCCAAAAAGTCACTGGAATGGACATTTTCGTATTGTGTCTATAAAAGTTGGCAAACTCCTTCACAAATTGAATATTTTTGGATGGCCATCCAAAACTGCTTGGCTCTTGCAATGTCCGGTAACCCCCATAATTACGACCTGCTGACAATTTTGCAGTTTTTTGGTCCATTTCAACCCCTAAATATATGGCGATCATCTCCAAAAAGAATAGGCTTTTATTCTGACCCTCATCTTATCTCCATGCAAAATTTCGTAAGGATCGGGCCATAAATGCGATCTGTATATGATATCCTGATATCCCAACTACTTAGTTTTGTTAGCTGTAGAAATATTACCAAATGTTTAATTCAAAATGAAAATATGCCAAAAATATGACAAAATTGAAAAATATGAGAAAATGTTACAAATCCAATATTTTCATCTTTAGAGAGATATTTTTATGCGATTTTTTTAGACGTTTTATGTTTCCTGCCAAGAGACCATTCTGAATTAATGAGAACTGTCGAAACCGTTCTCGACATTAAGAGATTTTTCAAGCATATCTTCTTTGATAAACATATATATCGCACATATTTTGCTATATATCCGATTTGTTGGATGTTAACATCAATGTAAATATCAGAAGTAACCTTGTCATGGCTTTGTGATTTCGCCGGGATTTAAAATATTCGCGGTTTAATGAAAAATTTTGAATTTTTTCAACAAAAAAGATATGGTCTATTTTACCCGCTAAATATTATCCGATGACCACCCAAATGGGTAGGCTTCTTGCCAGCCCTAAACTCTAGCTACATGCGAAGTTCCGCGTCGATTGGTCTATAATTGCGACCTATAGAGCAAGTGCAAAATCAGGAATTTTTTCAGTTTTTGGTCCATTTCAACCCCTAATTATTATGCGATCTTCACCAAAAGAAATAGGGTTCTATTCTGACCCTAGCCCCACCTCCATTTTAAATTTCGTGAAGATCGGACCATAATTGCGACCTGTAGAGTGATTACAAATTAACATGGACAGAAGGACAGACGGACGGACGGACATACATAGCTAGATCGACTCAGCTCGGCGAGATAGGAAGATCCATATATACTTTCCTATGTGGGAAATCAATATTTCGAGGTGTTACATAATTTTTGGCCCAATCAAACTTATAATACCCCCAACACATAGTGTTGTAGGGTATAAAAACTGCAATAAAGTCAAACGCCATAATTTTTACATATTTTTTTTTTATTTTTATTGAATTAAAGCCGGAACTCGGAAAAAGTATCAATTTTCAGAATAACTTTAGATTTATGGCCTTCATACGGCCAATGAAACCACCACACGCTGTCCGCATGTTACTCTGCGGGTTTTTGGCCCTTTCCCGGCGAAGCGTTCATTTGAGTTGATCGACACTTTGGTATTTTTTAGTGCCAACCTTGCTTTCCAAAATACTCCTAACACAATACTCCAACGGATTGGTATCCGGAGCCATTGTACGCTGGAAATGAAGCGAGGAACCTCATTTTGTAACCATTCGTGGGTGGCTCGTGCTGCGTGCGATGGTGCTGAGTCCTGTTTGAATGTCCAAGGTCTTCGGCCAAAATGTTTGCGTGCCCAATGCTTTAATACACCCTCCAGAATATTTTCGCGGTAATATTCGGCAATGCCGCGGTCGATTAATATGAGCGGAGAGCGACCATCGGCTGTTATGGCATGGCCAGCGCTAGAGTTCTGGTGGCCAAGCCGAATGGAATATTGCGATATGTTCAGCTCACGAGCCATTTTTGGCGACTGCGACGCGGGTTTCGATCAAGTCGTTTTCTTCCGTCCAGTTCCTTGACGTCGGGCTACGCTACCAGTATTACGGTAACGAGCGATGGTTCGAGACACAAAAGATTAATTCACATTTAAATGCTGAAGTGCTCTAACTATAGCCACTTGTGGGTTTCCAGCCAAATATAAGGAAAGCACACTATCACGCTTGTATTCCATCACGAATAACTTTTTTTCTGGAAAATTCTCACCAAAATGCTTTTGTACGCTTGAAAACAATATAATGAGCTGTCACTGGAATAATTTTAACAGCTGTCGAACGAGTGGCTTTGAAATGACTGCATTCCGAAGTTGGTTGCAGTTTTTTCATCTCACCCTGCATATTTTCGAAGATCTAATAATCCTGAAATTTCAAAAAATGCGGAACACAGAGAAAGCATATATCCCCTAAACGTCTATACATGCGTCTGCTCTTTTGAGCCTTGCTTTCATATTCTACTAAGTATGTCCTGCAACTTCTTTTTGTCGTTTCACAGTGTAATGAAACCAGTGGCTGATTTTTCGGACATTCCAGTTATTTTACATCCACAAAATTTTGTTCTTCCCCACAAATTGTCATATTTTTGAACTTATTCTTTCATTACAATTTAACAGTTTTATTAAATTAGCTACTTATTCTATCAAAAACTATGTGATCATTTTAAACGATCGAACATTATCATTTATCTTACTTCTATGAAAATTGTTGACTAATATCCTTTGGTTTTCTTGCTTATAACTGGGAACTAATAATATTTGGCAAGATCAATTTCTCCTCCCTCCTCTTCTTTCTTCTCGGCGGGGATTATTTTAACAACCGCCTGGAAGCCATTATGATGATCGGCCGTGTATTCAACAATGCGGATAGAACCATCGGCTTCCTTAATAATGTAGCTGCCTGAAGAGGGAAAAACAAATTTCAGTTCATATTCACTTTCAAATTTCCTAACAAATGTTCCCACTTACCTTTAACCTTATCCCCATCCCTCTCCTCCCAATGATTCTTGTCATCTCCGGACTTTTCATCCTTGACACCATATTCGAACTTGTATTTAGGTTGGGCATAGTAGTCGTGATGTATGTGATTCTTGTGTTCGTGATGATCCTCGAATGAGCTATGAGTTTCGGCTTGACGTTTTTCCTGTTGTTTGTCGTCCTCTTCCTCTTTCTTTTCCTCCTCCTTTTTCTTTTCCTTCTCCTTCATCATGGGCTTTTCAATGTGATCCTCTTCTTTATCGTCTTTCTGGCATTTCTTTTCATCCTTGTGTTTTTCATTGGATTCGGAATTTTTGGCAACCGCCGAGGACGAATAGCTGATGTTATCATAAACATCGTTTTTGTTTCTGCTACTTCTGTGGTAAAGTTTGCCCTGATAGCTGTATCGTTGTTGCGGATGATGATGTTGCTGATGATGCTGTTGTACAGGACCTGCCAATGCAATGCTGGCCAAGCCACAAATTGCAGCCAATGAAACAAAACTAAACGCTAGGAAATTCATGTTGTTGGCGGTGTGGTTGGTGTGGTTGACTTTTTCACTTTCGACTAGGCCAAAAAGGGCTGCTCTATCTCTCTCTCGCTTTCCCTGTGTTGCAATTGAATTTACTTCAAAAACTGATACTAATTTGTGGTTGCACCCGTTTATTTATAGTTAACAAAAACACGAAAGCTAATTAGTGTAAAAACTCACACGTACTCGGGTGGCAAGTTGCTGCTGCCCCAAAAAAAATTTCACTTATCTCTCTTGTTTCTTTTTTGTTGTTGTTGTTGTTGGGCCGCCATGCGTTTGCATTTCTCTAGCCTCGATTACAACATTGCCGGCAGTACACGATGATGGTGGTGTTGCCAGCAAGCGGTGGTATCCCCCGACAACAGCAGCAGAAACACATTTGAATTGGTGCAACAACAACAACACGTTTGTGCGAGTGACATAAGCCACCAATAATGTATGTATAGCGGGTGGGGTGGAGTTTGGTTTCGAACACCATGTTGGAAGATTTTTCAATGGAGGGAATTGTAGATATGTTTATATGGGGAAAAAACTTAAAGGGATTTCAGTTGAATCCGAAGGACGTTGAAAGTTTAGATGAATGTTTCGAATTAGAATTATACCAAATCTTCATTATGGTACTCGGTATGGTACGCATAAATATTTTCGGCTGAAAATGGATTGAAAAACGATTTTAAATAACAAGTTAAAAAGCAGTATGTTCGCCCGGGCCGAACTTTTAATACCCTCCACCACTTGGAACGAATTTGGAAATTTTCAAAAAATAAAATCCTTAAAAAATTTTGTTAAAATTTTAAAAATGCCGAATATAGCCGTTATATTGGGGTCTATAAGACGTGAACATACATAGATATTGTTTGTCATAAGCCATTACCATATTCAAATTCGAAACTTGAAATAAACGGTGAATAATGTAGCTAAAATCATCAAAATATCGTATATAAGAGGCTGCCGTTAAATTGGAGTTGTGCGAAGACCTGGACCAGCATGTACAATTTTCTGTCACAGGCTGTAGCATCCATTACGAACTTCGAATACCACATCTCAAACAATTTCGGTGGGTATTGTACCTAAAATCGTCAAAATACCGAATATAGGGAGGTAGTGATATATGGGGCCTATACGAAGACCTGGACCCGCACAGACAATTTTCTGTCACAGACTGTAGTTCCCATAATGAACTTCAAATACCAATTTTGAAATAATTCCGGTGAATAATGTCGCTAAAATCATCAAAATACCGGATATAGGGACGTACCGTTATATGGGGGCTATACGAAGACGTGGACCTGCACAGACAATTTTCTGTCTTAGGGTGTAGTATCCATTTTGGACTTCAAGTACCAAATTTGAAACAATTCCCGTGAATAATGTCGCTAAAATCATTAAAATACCGAATATCGGGAGGAACCATTATATGGGGGCTATACGAAGACATGGACTTGCACAGACAGTTTTCTATCTTAGACTGTAGTATTCGTTACGAACTTCAAATGCAAAATTTGGAACGATTCCTTTAAATAATGTCGCTAAAATCATCAAAATACTGAATATCGGGGGTACCGTTATATGGGGGCTACATGAAAACGTGGACCTACATTGCTCATTTTTTGACTTAATATGTAGTGTCCATTACGAATTTCAAATACCAAATTTGAAACGATTCCGGTAAATAATGTCGCTAAAATCATCAAAATACCGAATATCGGGGGGTACCGTTATATGGGGGCTTTACGAAGACGTGGACCTGCACAGATATTTTTCTGTCTTAGGCTGTAGTATCCATTACGAACTTCAAATGCCAAATTTGAAACAATTCCGGTGAATAATGTAGCTAAAATCATCAAAATACCGAATATCGGGAGGTACCGTTATATGGGGGCTATGTGATAACTTGGACCTACATGGCCCATTTACGAACTTAACCTGCCTACTGGCAAAATATACATGTGTGCAAAATTTTAGCCTTCTATCTCAATTCATTCGAAATATAGCGTGATTACAACAGACAGACGGACAGACAGACAGACGGACATCGTTAAATCGACTTACAATTTTATGCTGATTATGAATATATATACTTTATGGGGTCTACGACGAATATTTAAGGATGTTACAAACGGAATGACAAAGTTAATATACCCTCCTTTCCAAGGTGGAGGGTATAAAAATATTGACAATTTTGACCCTTTGTGGGGGAGATACCAGAAGGGGTGGGCTCATATCTATCATCTTCACACCAAATCTTGTGCTAATAGAAATATTGAGAAGTGTGAGATTTAAAGAGAAGCGGATGCTTACTTCGTTTTCGTTATACAAAAATTTTACCCTCTTCTGTGGGAGGTTCCAAAAGTAATGGACCGATACATTTCATCTTCAAACCAAGTCTTGTGTTAGTAGAAATATTGGAATGTGTGAAATTGAATAGTATATAATGCTTATTTCGCAAATTACCAGATATATAATTATGTAAATTTGACCCTTTAGAGGTAGAGGTACTAGAATGAGTGGAGCGATATATCCCATCTTCACACCTCATTGGGTGTTGATATAAATATTGGGATGGGTGAAATTTGAAGAGAATCGAATGCTTATTTCGCATTTTATGATCTTCAGAGTTATTCAAATTTTTGACCCTTTTGTGGAGGAGGCACCAGAAGGAGTGAACCGACATATTGCATATTTACATCTGTGTAGATAGAAATATTGGGATGGGGGATGGGATATATAATTATTCAAAATATTGACCCTTTGTGGAGGATTTACCAGAAGAAGTTGACAGTCTTGTGTTAGCAGAATAATTAGGAGGTGTGCGATACTTGAGGAGAATCAGATGCTTATTTCATATCTTATAAGAGTAATAATTATTCAAAAGGTTGACCCTTTGTGTGGGATGTATATGATGGTGTGGGTCGCTATTTTCCATTTTTCACAGCTGCAATTGCACTGACTGAGATAAGTCAAACTGACAACAAAGTCAAACGCCATAATTTTTACATTTGCATACCCTACACCACAAGGTGGTCAGGGTATTATGTTTTTGTGCATTTGTTTGTAACAGGCAAAAGGAAATGAGATAGACCCATAGTTCCTTTTTATGATTTGCATGGAATCACATTCTGAGTCGATTTATGCATGTTCGTCCGTCTCTCTGTCCGTCTATCCATGTATTTTTGTAAACAAAGTGCAGTTCGCATTTATTAGGCATTTATTATATTAGGCCTGAAAATAATCAAAATCGTTTCAGATATAGCTATAGCTCCCATATATATTGCTCATCCAATTTGTTATTTGTGTCCTCCGCAGCCGTAATATGCACTCTGTAACAACAATATTTGGGGAAATATATCAAATACAGCTCAGAAATACATTTGCTAAATTTTATCGAGATCGGTTCAAATTTGGATATAGCTCCCATATATACCTTCGTCCGATTTATCTTTTATTGTGTAGATCGGTTCAGATATAGCTTTAGCTCCCATATATACTGTTCATCCGATTTGTTATATTTGTTACCCACAGCTGTAAGATGCACTCCGTAACAACGATATTCTGGAAAATATATCAAACACAGCTCAGAAATATCTTTGCCAAATTTTATCGAGATCGGTTCAGATTTGGATATAGCTCCCATATATATCTTTATCTGATTTCAAATTAATTGTGCACCAAATGGGCAATACAATTCCGAATTTAAAAGATACAAATGCTTCGGCATATTTAGTCCTTTGAACTTATTATAATTATAATCATAGCGTGTATGATTGAATTCTCCCATAAAAACTTATTAATTGTTATGCGGAGCTCTACTAAATTAGCAAAGTGGTGTAGAGTATCCGGTCCGGCCGACTTTAAGACTTTCTTTACTGTTTTTTTTAAATTTTATTGAATAAAAACAAAAAATATTGGAAAAATCGGAAATAGCATCAAATTTTAGAATAAAATTAGGTGTGTTTGAATTGGTCACATTTGGCACGAATTATGGTCTTAAAACGGCCAATGAAACCGTCACACGCTGCACGAATGTTGCTCTACGGTATTTTGGCCCATTCCCGGCGAAGCGCTTGCTTGAGATGATCGGCACTTTGGTATTTTTTAGTGCCAACCTTGCTTTCCAAAATACTCCAGACACAATAGTACAACGGATTGGTATTCGGAGATTTAAGTGGCCATTGTGCGCTGAAAATGAAGCGAGGAATCTCAATTTGTAACCATTCATGGGTGGCGCGTGCTGAGTCCTGTTGGAATGTCCAAGGTCTGAGGCCAAAATTTTTGCGTGTCAAAGGCTTTAATACACCCTCCATAATATTTTCGCAATAATATTCGGCATTTATTCCGATGCCACAGTCTATTAATACGAGCGGAGAGCGACCATCGGCTGCAATGGCGGCCCACACCATAACCATGGCCGGCGCTTGAGTTCTGGTGGCCAACCGAGGGTGCACATTTTCAGTCTACCTCGTTGGCAGGTAAACACGATCATTTTGTTTGTTTACAAACTGCTGGACAACGAATGTTTTTTTGCATCGGAGAAAACCAAATTCGGCAGTTTACCACTTTCGGCCAAGCGAAGCAACTCTTTAGCTCTTTAGAGTCTATTTTCTTTCAGTTGCGGTATATGTTCTTACGCTTTTTGGAATTTCAATGGCTTTACCCCGAGCTTATTTTTCAATATTTGCCGAATAGAATATTGCGATATGTTCAGCTCACGAGCAATTTTTTGGCCACTGCGACGCGGATTTCGATCAAGTCGCTTTTTTACTTTTCGAACCATTTCTGCTGATGTTGCTGTTTTCTTCCGTCCACTTTCTTGACGTCGAGCTACGGTACCAGCATCACGGTAATGATCTATGGCACGAAACACAAAAGATTTATTCACATTTAAATGCTGGAGTGCTCTAACGTTAGCCACTTGTGGTTTTCCAGCCAAATATAAAGAAATCACACTATTACGCTTGAATTCCATAACGAATAACTTTTTTTTCTGGGAAAGGCTCACCAAAATGCTTTTGTACGCTTGTAAACAATAGATTGAGCTGTCACTGGAATAATTTTAACAGCTGTCGGACGAGTGGCTTAGAAATGACAGCAGTCTAAAGTTGGATGCAGTTTGTATTTCATCTCATCCTGTATAGGTCCATGTTTGGGTTTGATAATTTTAGCGACATTATTCCCCGGAATTGTATCAAGTTTTGCACTTTCATTTCGTAATGGGTGACATACAGGCATGTCACAGAATGTAAAATCGTTCAAGAGTGAAAACGAAAACGGTTTTAGCTTCTCTAAAAAACGGAAAACGCAAAAATTTTGCGTTTTGATATCACTTTCAAAAAGCAGGGTGAAATTGAAATGTTTAGTGATTTTAACGTAAAAAATAAACAGAAGACACATACATTTAACAGAAAATATTGTATTAACCAAATTCTCTTAGAATGAGCATGTTTTTGGAATTTATTTTACAAAAAATCTATTATTTTTCTAATCCATGAATTCGGAAGGTTTAACCATTCTAACGTGAGTTCCGTCAATGCATCCTACAATTCCTGGAATTTCATAATTTTCAAAAAAGTACAATTTCGACTTTCTTTTTTCTTCGGAAGACATTCTTAATTTGATCCAATGTGGACAAATTTCAGCTTCAATTGCATTAATAACTCTCCACTAGAAACTGTAATTCTCCCAAGGCTTAGCTCCACATCTCTACCTATAACTCCTTGAAATGCACCCGTAGCCAAAAACCTAAGCGTTGTTGCAAGCTGGATAATAGGAACGTTTGATTGGAACGTTTGAGGTGGGGAGAAATTTTGTCCAAAACTAAAACAAAAGCTTCTTTATTTAGCCGATAATAAGTTATAAATCTGTAGAAATAAATTATTATTAAGATAAATTTGAAAATAACTCATTGCTGGTGGATCCTTACTCTGCATTTGAGTGAGATAAAGGATCTGATGCGTTCCTTAATGTCCGGCGACGAATTTTTTCAGTAAACCGCTGATTTATTTCTTCATCCATTACAACAAGTATTGAAGCCCCTGGCATTTTTACTTTTGGTGTTTATATTATAAAAAACAATTTAAACTCCTTTTTTAATTGTAAATAATTTGTTTACGACTTTTTTTTTTCATGGAGTTACCATATTTTTATTTCAAAAATGTGAAATGATTTTTTTTCCGGATTAGTCAAAACGTACGAGTGCTGAAGAAGCAAAAGCAAATCGTAACGATTTGGAAAGGGTGAAATGAATCGATTTCGTAAAACTTCTGTGACATGCCTGATAGAATAGCTCCCCCCTTATATCGCTACATCCCTATATTCGGTTTATCGAAAAATAAATAATTTTAAATCTGCCAAGTCTATAATTTACCACGCATTGAGCTCCGCTTTATATTTTCTCCAATTCCCGTTTTATTTTTTTTAACAATCAAACAATGTTGATTTCCATTTCAAAATGTTCTTAATGTATTTATCCAGCTATTTTCAGAAAATATGTATTGGTGAACAGTAGATTCAACACATAACAAAAATATCCATAGCCGCAAATCCTAATAACAAATCCATCAGAAATTCGTCATCGGTAAATTAATGCAATTTAACTTTGGCATAACTGGTGGCATGACCATAACCATGTCCATGGCCATAGCCATGACCGTAACCATGTCCTCCATAAGCACCTGCATGATTGGCCTGACCCAACTTCTTGACCACAGCATTGAAACCATGATGACCATCGGCATGATAATCCACCACACGAGTAGTGCCATCGGCTTCCTTTAGGGAGTAGCTACCTAGAAATTATGAATATTGAAAATAAGAAAAATTATATCTGCCATATTAACTATTCGATATGTTACCTTGTACATTATCACCATCCCGATGTTCCCATTGATTCTTCATATCGCCAGTCTTAGAGTCCTGTACACCATATTCAAATTGGTATTGGGGATACGAATGATAATCTTGATGATCCCATCCACCATGGCCATAACCAGCAGCACCACCATGGCCATATCCAGAACCACCATGACCATAGCCAGCACTACTATGGCTATAAGAAACTCCACCATGGCCGCCATAACCGGCACCACCATGTCCAGACCAACCATGGCCATGATAACTATCACCATGATTGACTACTGAGCTATAACCACTTGCTCCGCCATGATGCAAGCTTCCAGCAGCAGCCAAACCGGACAAGGCCAAAAAGGATCCAACACTCAAGAATTTCATGTTGCTATGCTATTTTTTTTTGATTGAGATATAATTATAGAACTGATATCGATTTGTAGTTTATCTTGGCTATTTATACTAAATTGTTAATACTCTATATTACCTTTGGCTGACCTTTGTTACGATTATTTTGTTTTCGTTGCTGCTAATTAAATATGTCATGTTTTCATTTTCGTTTACCCATACTTTGTAATTTACCTTTCAAAATTGTATATGAGAATTAATGTATTATGAATGAATACCATTAATGAGTAATTTTTCGTAGGACAAAAAATTCCACATTCCAAAACAATTGCCCTGAACTTCCAAGACATATGTCTGCAAGTTAGTATTTTAGCTGCAAATAAAATTACTAGTTATTAGATAAAGAAATCATTCGTTTTGGAAAATGTGCCTTGGACCTTTGAAGCACCGGACCGACCTTTTAATACCCTACGCTATTTGGAGGGAACTTGCAAAATGTTAAAAAAAAATCTATAGAAAAAAATGCCTCCATAATTACACTGTGCAACACAAAAATAATTACGGTTGAAATCAGGCAGTTCATTAAAGTATAGACAAAAATAGAAGACATGTGTATCGGCGCTTTTAAAGTTTACATCACAAAGTAAATAAAATAGAGGGGGTATGGCTCTCGCTTCGTCCACACTTTTGGTAATTTTCGAATTAAGATTCCTTGGCATCCATTCATTATACCCTGCACCACATGTGGTATTTGTTATATTTTTGTGCATTTATTCGTAGCAGGGGGGAAGAAGCGAGATAGAACCATAGTTACTTTTGAGGATCTTCATAGAATCACTTTCTGAGTCGATTTATGCATGTCAGTCCGTTTGTCCGTCCATGTATTTTTGTGAACAAAATGCAGGTCGCAATTTTTATCCGATCAAGATGAAATTTCCCAAACAATATTTTTTTGGACCAAGGTCGAACCCAAATGAAATTGGTGATAATCGGATCAGATTTACATATAGCTCCCATATATCTTCAACCAATTTCGGGTTAATTCCACACCAAATGTCCAATATAAGTCCAATTTACCTGAATTTTGGCCCATCCGACCGAATTTATAGATATAGTTATAGCTCACATATGTATTTTTCATCCGATTTGGTGTTTAAGTCCCTCACATTCGTATTCTACATTTGAAAAGAATGATATTTAGTGCCAGATAACTTATAGAGCTCGGAAATAACTTTGACAAATTTTGTCGAGATCGGCTAAGATTTGGATACAGCTTCTAAATATCCTTAATCCGATTTCAGGTTTATTCTGCAAATAGTGGCTAATATCAGCCAAATGGAGTTAATTTTGGGACTTACGTTCCCATTTTGTGGAACTCGGCTCCGATATATATATTTTTATACCCTTCACCATACATAGTATGGAGGGTATATTAAGTTCGTCATTCCGTTTGTAACTCATCGAAATAATCCTATTAGACCCAACAAAGTATATATATTCTTGATCAGCGTAAAATTCTAAGACGATTTAGCCTGTCCATCCGTCTGGCCGTCTGTTGTAATCACGCTACAGTCTAAACGAATTAAGATAGGAAGCTAAAATTTTGCACAGATCTCTCTTTTGTCTGCAGGCAGGTCAAGTTCGAAGATGGGCTATTATCTAGAAGATCTGGAGAATTATCTATATAGGTCCACAATATCGTATAGCCCCCATATAACGGTATCCCACGGTATTCGGCATTTTGATGATTTTAGCCACATTTGTCAATGGAATTGTCTGAAATTCCACAAAAGGAGTCCCTTGTGAGCATTTTACCCCCTCAAAAAGAATTGTTTATATAGGTCCACGATATCGTATATCCCCCATATAACTGTACCCCCCATATTCGGCATTTTGATGATTTTAGCCACATTTTTCAAGGGAATTGTCTGAAATTCCACATAAGGAGTAACTTGTGGGCATTTTACCCCCTCAAAAAGAATTGTCTATACATGTCCACGATATGGTATATCCTCCATAAAACGGTACCCCCCCGATATTCGGTATTTTGATCATTTTACCCACACTTTTCATCGGAATTGTCTGAAAATCCACACAAGTAGTTTCTTGCGAGTACTTTACGCCCTGAGAGAGAATTGTCTATACAGATCCACGATATCGTACATCCCCCATATAACGGTTCCCCCGATATTCGATATTTTGATGATTTTACCCAAGGCAAAGGTTGATGGGTGGTATAAGCTACTTCAAATAAATTATTTTGTTACGGGAGCTCTACAAAAAATGCATAGTGGTGTAGGGTGTCATATAGTCGGGTGGGGCCGAGACTTTTGATCTTTCCTTACTGGTTTTTGATGTTTAGTTTCTTCGGCAATATTACAGATAAAAATACGTGGATTATTTTGGAGTGGGTTTTTTTGGTCCTTGTTTCAAAATATGGTTGAAAACTCCCTTTAAACGTTGTCGTACCCTCTCTACAAGTTTGTTTGTCATCAGATTCTACTATAGAAAATATCCGCTGATTTCAGATATTAATAGGATCTAGACTATATTTTTCAATCGATTTGACTGAAAATTAGTTTCTTTGTGGAAAAAACCTTCCGGCATAAGATGTTTAATGAAATATAATGTAAAGGGCTCCAATATTAACAAATTTGCATACCCTCAGACACATGGCAACAGGGGGTATATATCATTTGCTTAGACCAAAATGTGCCTCATCGAAATTTGGACCAAATCCGTTTCAGGACATTTGGAGTCGATCTAGGGTGGGGTGTCCGATTTGATCTAAACTTGTTAAAAAGTCATATTATTATCAAGCTATTATTATCTCTGAATTCGAGATGGGCTATATCGGTCCACCATAGAAGGTCTACATTTTCAAAGAAAAGAATTTACCTCATAAAAAGACAAACGACCATTCGATTTTGCGTAAACTTTGCAAATCGTAATATTTTTATTAGTTCTAGGTTAGGTTTGAAAATGGATAATATCGGCCTCCTCCACAGATGCTAAAAATTTGGAATAATTATAATCCTTATAAATTGTGAGTATTAGTGTATTTCTACCAACGCCAGATCTGGTGTTAAGATGGAATATATCGGAATATTCCTTCTGGTACCTCCCCACAAAGGGTTACATTTGGAATAATTATAAGTCGTATAAAATGTGAAATAAGAGCTCGATTGTCTTCAGATTCAACCCATTCCAATATTTTTATTAACGCATGAACTGGTGTAAAGATAAGATATATCGGTCTACTCCATCTGGTACCTCACCCACAACGGGTCAACATTTTGGATAATTTTATCTCTCATAAAATGCGAAATTAGCATCAGAGTGTCGTCAAATAGCGCACATCCCAATATTTCTACCAACATCAGATCTGGAATATATCGGGTAATTCCTTCTAGTACCTCGTCCACGGAGTTCAAAATTAGGAATAATTATATCTCTCACGGCAGGTGAAATATGCAAGAGATTCTCTTAAAATTTCATGTATCCCAATATTTTTACTAACGATGTTTCGGTGTGGAAATGATAGATGTCGGCCTACCCATTTTGATACCTCTCCCGCATTGGCTATATATCTCAATATGTGCGAAATGCCAGATTATTTCCAAGAAGGTTATTGGTGTGTCTCAATCTCTCTCTCTTTCTCTCTCTTTCTCTCTTGGTTTCAGGATAAAACATCCGTTTGCAGTGCATAAGGGGCCTATGGCGGCTGAAGCAAATGTTTGCTAGGACACACAACCCTATTCTCCCTCTTCCCTTTATCAAACCCACTAAAATCTTAAGATGCCCATACATGTTAGTTACAAGAAGTTGTGGACCTCTATAGATAATTATATGCAAGGCATCATACTACTACCCATGCCACAAACTGCATTCTCATATTAAACATTGAAAGGTGAATTGCAAAAAAAAAAACTGGACAAACAAAACAAAAACATGACATATTTAATTAGTAATAACAGAAAAAAGAATAATAACAGAGGTCAGTTTAAGGTACTCCGGTGCATTAATATTTCAGTATAAATAGCCAAGACAAGGCAAAACATGTTATCAGTTCCAAAATTATTTAAAATAAATAGTTACACCTAAATTTTTAGTTCTAAAAATCAATATGAAATTCTTGAGCGTTGGATCCTTTTTGGCATTGTCTGGTTTGGCAGCTGCTGGAAGTTTGCATCATGGCGGTACAAGCAGTTATAGCACAGTAGTTAATCATGGTGATAGTTATCATGGTCATGGCTTGTCGGGACATGGGGGTGCCGGTTATGGCGGCCATGGTGGAGTTTCTTATAGCCATATTAGTGCAGGCTATGGTCATGGTGGTGCTGGATATGGTCATGGTGGTGCTGCTGGTTATGGCCATGGTGGTTGGGATCATCAAGATTATCATTCGTATCCCCAATATCAATTTGAATATGGTGTGCAGGACTCTAAGACTGGCGATAGCAAGAGTCAATGGGAACATCGGGATGGTGACAATGTACAAGGTAAGATATACAATATTTAATATGGCAGATTTATTTTTTTCCTATTTGAAATATTTTTAATTTTTAGGTAGCTACACTTTGAAGGAAGCCGATGGCACCACTCGTGTAGTGGATTATCATGCCGATGGTCATCATGGTTTCAATGCTGTGGTCAAGAAGTTGGGTCAGGCCAATCATGCTGGAAGCTATCACGGCCATGGTGCATATGGTGGACATGGTTACGGACATGGCTATGGCCATGGTTATGGTCATGCCACCAGCTATGCCAAAGTCAATTTGCATTAATTGAATGATATTATATTTTAGACGGAAATCGATTCAGTTCAAATGTTATGACCCCAACAAAATTATTTCAGCGAAATAAATAAAATAAATAAAAAATATAATATAAAATACCACTATTAAAAAATTTTCAACATTAATATTATTTTTCTTTAATATCAATGTCGCTAATTTCTATAAAAAAGTACCATAGGATATATGGAATGAGACCAATTCAAAAATTTCTGCATTTTGATACCCTCCCTTTTATAACATCCGCAAATATTCGTCACGATACAGCCCACATTATTTGACGTAGAGCTTCAAAATTTGGCAGAAAAATTTGTATTGTGTCTAGGATGATTGGTATTGAAAATAAGATATGTCGGTCCAAGTTTTGGTATAGCCCCTATATAACGGTACCTCCCGATGTTCGGTATTTTCACGATTTTTGTCATATTTTTTACAGACTTGTCTAAAAATTGGTATTTATAGGCTATAATGGGTTCTAGCTCTGGTGGCGAGACATTGTACGTATAGGTCCAAAATTTTGTATAGTCCCCATATAACAGTACCTCCCGAAATTTGGTATTTTGATGATTTTTGCCACATTTTTGCACGGATTTGTCTAAAAATTGGTATTTGTAGTTCAGAGTGGGGTCTAGCTCCCTTGGCAGAAACTTTGAATATTTAGGTCCACGTTTTTCCAAAGCGCACATATAACGATAACCATCAATGTTCGGTATTTTTATAATCCTAGTCGCATTTACACACGAAATTGTTTTAAAATGGAATTTAAGAAGATTTGATATGTGACAATCCTGGAAGTATAAAATGGAGGTTCCTTGTCGGTCCGTACGTCTGTCTTTTGGAATCACAATAGACTCCACATTTTTTATTTTAGAGCTTCGCACAAAGATTTATATTATATCCCTCCAGATTCTCGTATTTTCAATGTTTCTGCCACAATTTCCAATCAAGTCAGCTGAAACTTTACACTTGAGGTTCTTGGCAAGTCTGTCTCTCCCTGCAAAAAATATTTGCTACAGGTCCACTAACTGTAACAGCCCCCATTTCCCGATTTTCGATATTTTCAAGATTTCTGCCACAATTTCCAACTAAATTAGCTGAAACTCGGTAGGTCATTTCTCTCCTTGCTAAAAAATATTCGATTCATGTCCAATAATTGTTATAGCCCCCCCCCCTATAACGATACCTCATGATTTTAGTATATTGACGTTTGAAGCTACATTTTCTAACGTATTTATCTACAATTTTGTACTTGTAGTTCGTAATTGGTTTCAGCTAGGTTGGATGAACTTTGTATATTATGTTTTCTTATAACTTCCCAATATTCGATATCTTGATATTTATAGCCACATTGTTTCACGATTTTTTAAAATAATGGCGGAGGGTATTGAGAGCTCGGCCTGGTCAAACTTAATGTATTTTACTTGTTCTGACATGCATTATGATCATTCAAAATGTCTACATTTTATGGGGAAGGTGACGAAGGAGTAGACCATTATTGTCCATTTTTGCACCCAATCTACATCTACTGAAAATATTACGATGTGACAGGTTTGGATTATATCGACTTTTTCCTTCACTTATATAATATATGGTTATATTATTTTTTTGGAACATGTTGAAATGTTTCGGGAAGGTACCTGAAGTAGTGGACCTACATATTATACCCTCCATCATACATAATATGGAGGGTATATTAAGTTCGTAATTCCGTTTGTAACTCTTCGACATAAAAAAGTATATATATTATATATATAAAGATAGGAAGCTAAAATTTTGCATATCTCAGTCTTTTGTCTGCAGGCAAGTCAAGTTCGAAGATGGGCTATATCGGTTCACGATATCGTATAGCCCCCATGCAACGATATCCCCCGATATTCGGTATTTTTATGATTTTAGCCACACTTTTCAATGGAATTGTCTGAAATTCTATACAAGGAGTTCTCTGTGAAAGAGAAATGTCTATATAGGGCTACGATATCATCAAAAATACAATGGTGCCGCCGATACTGGATATTTTGATGATTTTAGCCACATTTTCAAATGAAATTTGCTGATAATCCACAGTAGGATTCCCTTCTGAGTACTTTACCCCCTGAAAGATTATTGTCTATATAGGTCCACGATATCATATAACCCCATAAAACGGTACCTCTTCCCAGGCTTTCGTATAGCCCCCATATGTCAGTACCTCTTTACCATGTTAACTATATTTTTCACCGGATTTTTTTTTCAAGTTTCGTTTTTGTATATTGTAATGGCTTATCACAAAAGTTGCCAATGAATATCCACGTCCTCGTATAGAAACCAATATAATGGCTTTATTCGATATTTTTAACAGAATTTTTAACGGATGTTTTTTTTGAAAATTTCCAAATTCGTTCCAAATGGTGGAGGGTATTAAAAAGTTCGGCCCGGACGAACATACTGCTGTTTTACATTTTTTATTTTCACATATAATATAATACTGATAAAAAATATTGGGATGTGCAAAGATTATAGTCCTGCCTTTAATTGAGCCAATAGCTTGAGTGTCATTATTCTCATAAAATACGAACTAAATCCCCGATTTCCTTCAAACTTTGAACATTGCAATCTTTTTGCGAGGGTTAGATCTGGTATAAAAAGGTGGGATATGCGGGACCATACTTTCTAGTATCTCCCCACAAATGATATGCAATTAAGGAAGTTATAATATTTGTCTCGGGCTTGGGTGAAGTGAGGCAATTTTTGCTGACGTCAACATTTTGTTTAGTCGTAACACTCATAAAATGCGAACTGATTGCGCTATTGCAACATTTTTGCAACTAATAGATCTAATGTAGAGATAGGATGTGCAAGATCACCCTTTCTGGTATATCCGCCACAAATGGTATACAAAGGTCATTTTTAAGCTGTTTATGGTTTTAAATATTACTCGAAGTAAATAAGTCCTATTATTTTAAATCCTCAAAGTCTATGTCTTAATAGACCTTGAGTGCTTTATTTTATATTTAAAATGTCCGCTTTATATTTAGATTTAATATTGAATTTTAATATATCATAATTTCTATAAAATATTAAACAAATTATATTCAGACTTAAAAATGTTCTATTTTCAACTAATACACAGGTGTTGGCAGAACACTTCATCAAATAACAAACATATATATCCATAGCCGCATATCGTGAAATCAATTCCATCAAAAAATCGTCATTGGTAAATTAATGTAATTTAACTTTGGCATAACTGCTGGCATGTCCATGGCCATAGCCATGACCATAGCCATGACCATAGCCATGATCTTCATAAGCCCCACCATGTTGATGATAAGTTTCAGGATGATAGGCGGTACCCAACTTTGTGACAACAGCATTGAAACCATGATGGTCATCGGCATGATAGTCCACCACTCGAGTTGTGCCATCAGCTTCCTTTAAGGTGTAGCTGCCTACAAATAAAAAATTGATTATGTAAAAGAGATCAAATATTATTAATATTTGATTTCCCACCTTTCACTTGATCACCATCGCGGTGTTCCCATTGATCCTTGACATCACCAGTTTTCGAGTCCTGTACACCATATTCAAAGTCATACCTGGGATAAGAGTGATGATCATCACCATGACCATGACCATAACCAGCAGCACCGCCATGACCATAAGCAGCACCACCATGTCCATAACCAGCCCCAACATGACTATAGCTGTTGGCACCATGTCCCGACCAACCGTGACCATGATAACCATCACCATGATTGACTACTGTACTATAACTGCTTGCTCCGCCATGATGCAAGCTTCCAGCAGCTGCCAAACCAGACAGGGCCAAAAAGGAACCAAGACTCAAGAATTTCATATTGATTTGTAAAAAATGAAGTTCGACTGTAGAATGATTAGGAACTGATGCCGTTTTAGCTGCCGAATGTTGGGTATTTATACTAAAATAGTGAAATGCATATTTTGAAAATTTACTTAAACTTCATGACCAAAAAATGTGTTATTAGTTGTAGGAAATATTCAAATATTTGCTTGCGGAAAATTTGTCTTTCAAATTTTGGTATTTAAATATTTGTGGGACACATAAAAATGGAAAGACGCAAAAAGGGCTGTTATGTGGCAATGTCGACCATGTGATAACCTACACTTGTAAACCCAGCGACTACATATATTGGAAATAACAATTTAAATTTATTGAAATCGCACGTTTTGAGTATAATGTGACAAGCTTGAATTTATTTAATTTGTAGCAACAATATATTATCGACAACCCTCTAAGAAATTGTTCAAACCTATTTTTATGTCCTCCATAATTCATAGTATGGAGGGTATATTAAGTCGTTATTTAGTTTGTAACTCATCGAAATAATAATTTTAGACCCAACAAAGTATATATATATTCTTGATCAGCGTGAAATTCTAAGACGATTTAGCCCTGTCCGTCCGTCCATCCGTATGTCCGTCTGTTGCAATCACGCTAGAGTCAAAATGAATTAAAATAGGAAGCTAGAGATCAGTATTTTGTTTGCAGACAGGTCAAGTTCGAAGATTGCACGTACCCCACGATATTCGGTATTTTGTTGACATTATTCAATTGAATTTTGCCAAATCTCGTATTTAAAGTTCGTAATGGGTACTTCAATCTATGAGGGAAAATGCTCTGTGTAGGTCCACGTGTTTGTATAGCCCACATATAACTGTTTTCATTTGGATGGTAATTTTCGACGGATTTATTTTTAAAATTATTTACGGTTCGGCCCGGCCAAATTTGCTGCTTTCTTCCTTGTTCATAATATACTTACTTATATACTTAAAAAATAATAATTAAAAAAATTGTCAAAATTCCCACTGTACCAAATTTTACAAGACATAATTTTATTGCCACTAATACTTGATTCGGGCGCTATACGGAAGTCTATAGTCTGCACGAAAATGTGGACTGATTTCGAAATTTTTGTAAAGTGTTAAAAAGCTCAGTGAAATCCCAAAAAAATCAAATTGTAGCTAATTCCGCTGGAAAGTGCCGTTCAAAAATCTGGAACGATTTCGAAATATTTGTAGCAAGTTGACAAGTTCAATGACAGTTCCATATACCAGCCTTTCGACTACCTGACATCGGCCGTACCTTCATATGGGGCTACCCCAAAAGGCGGAGAGATTTGGAAATATTTTTGCCCAGAGTTAATATGGACCCTAAATAATAACCTATAGTTAATGCAGAAATGTTTTAAACAACCTATAGGTAGGCCCTATACAGTCTTAATTATAAATTTTCTATGCAAAAACATTTCCGAATCCGGGCTCTTTTAGCACAAAAAAAAACAATCTATCCAATCTATATTGGTGCGGGGCCGACCATGTGATACCCTACAACACTACAATATGTTAGAAGCCCGCTTACGTCCAAATCCATTTTGAAAGATTTCGCTTTTGAAATTATGTCACGGAGCACTGCCCTCGTGCTGTTAGTTGTTGGGGTTCATTTTACAGCCAAATATAATCCAATGGTCATACAAAATGCTAGAATTCTTCCCTGTCCTTAACTCTTTTCTCAGTCGTGTCGATTGCCTTCAATTGTGTGATCAGGACATTATTAAATAATTTGCGATCGTCTCCAAAAGCAAGGGGCCCCTTTTTTCGCCGGGATTAAAAATATGCGCGGTTTAATGGAAAATTGACTTTTATTTAACACAAATGTCATGGTCTATTTCACCCAATAAATATTACCCGATGACCATCAAAATTGGAAAACTTCTGCCCAGCCCTAAGTTCTAGCCCCATACTAACTTCCGCTACGATTAGTGTATAATTACGACCTGTAGAGCAACTGCAAAATCAGGAAATTTTTCAGTTTTTGGTCCATTTCAACCCCCTAAATATTATGCGATCATCTGCTTGGGTTCTATTCTGCCTCTATCCCCAGCTTCATTCTAAATTTCGTGAATATCGGGTCATAATTGCGACCTGTAGAGTGATTACAAATTAACATGGACAGACGGAGGACGGACATACATAGCTAGATCGACTCAGCTCGGCGATATAGGAAGATCCATATATACTTTCCTATGTGGGAAACTAATATTTCGAGGTGTTACATAGTTTTTGGCCCAATCTAACTTACAATACCCCCAACACATAGTGTTGTAGGGTATAAATAGTACAAAAAGTCTAAAAGTGGGAGCTATTGCTATCTCAGAACCGATTTCGATCAGATTTGGCATACTTATTTCCATACTAGTTCGGCTGATATTACACGTTTGGTGCACAAAATAATCAAATCGGACGAACGTATATATGGGGGCTACATCTAAATTTTGACGGATTATCTTTAATAAGGTTCAAACAAATGACTTGTGGAAAATTTCATTTGGATCGGACAATAAATACGACCTGTACTTTGTTTACAAAAATACATGGACAGGACTCATAAATCGACTGAGAATGTGATTCTATGCATATTTTCAAAGGGTCTATATTTTCTATGGGTCTATTTCGTCCGCTTTTGCCTGTTTCAAACAAATGCACAAAGACATTATACCCTGACCATCTCGTGATGTAGGGTATAAAAACGGGGAAAATATTGTGAAATTTGATCGAGGGATACGACTTTAAAATAAATATTTATTTAAAAACAATATGTATATGTATATTTAAAACTTCACAGTATTTTTGATTATTACTGATTTTCGAACATAGAGATACATTTCGATTTCGGTAGATTCTGAAATATATAGTGACCCACTCAATGAATCCCTTGTCAGAAAGAATATTTGCCAGAAAAATTCTTCTCCTTTGTGTCTTTAAAATTGATAAATGCAAGGATTAAAGGGAATCATAAAATATTAACAAAAGTCCTGGGTCGGGAGGATTTTGTCCGCCCTATTTGGGCTACCTTCTGCTCCAAGTTTCAAAACGTTATTCAGACATTTTCTTGTTTTATAATCTTTTGGACTTTTTACAAAAAAATTGAATTTGGTTGCACAGTGTAACTAAATTTAAGTCGCATTTGCCCCTCTGACCCTCTTTCTCTCTCTCTCTGGCTCCACTTGAAAAAATCGGTCTACAGCACATAAGATTGCTTTGCGGATGGAGTGAATGTTTGGTAGGATATGTGACCATATTCTGCCCTTCCACCATTTATCAAACCCACTAAAATCGGATCGGATTCCAAAATATTAGAGCTACTAGAAATTGTGGACTAGTGTTGATAATTATTTGCAATTAGAGATACAACTAGCCATGCCATTTTGTTATACCCTACAATACTATGTGTTGTTTTTAATATTGAAAGGTGAATTGCAAACAAAGGGAAAACAAAACCAAAACATGACATATTTAATTAATAGTAACAAAAAAAGAATAATAACAGAGGTCAGTTTAAGGTACTTCGGTGCATTAATATTTTGGTATAAATAGCCAAGACGAAGAAAAACATGTTATCAGTTCCAAAAATACTTAAAATAAATAATTACACCTAAATTTTGAATTTCCAAAAGCAATATGAAATTCTTGAGCGTTGGATCCTTTTTGGCCTTGTCCGGTTTGGCAGCTGCTGGAAGTTTGCATCATGGTGGAGCTAGTAGTTATAGCACCGTAATCAATCATGGTGAGGGTAATCATGGCCACGGATGGTCGGGACATGGTGGTGCCGGCCATGGCGGCCATGGTGCTGTTGTTTATAGCCATGGTGGTGCTGGATATGGTCATGGTGGTGCTGGTGGCTGGGATCATCAAGATTATCATTCGTATCCCCAATACCAATTTGAATATGGTGTGCAGGACTCTAAGACTGGCGATAACAAGAACCAATGGGAACAACGGGATGGTGATCATGTGCAAGGTAAGATATAAAATGAATTATATGATAGACATATTTCTTACTATTTTACATAATTATATTGGCTTGTAGGTAGCTACACCTTAAAGGAAGCCGATGGCACCACTCGTGTGGTGGATTATCATGCCGATGGTCATCATGGTTTCAATGCTGTGGTCAAGAAGTTGGGTCAGGCCAATCATGCTGGTGCTAATGGAGGACATGGTTATGGTCATGGCTACGGACATGGCTATGGCCATGGTTATGGTCATGCCACCAGTTATGCCAAAGTTAAATTGCATTAATATATCGATGACGAATTTCTGATGGATTTTTTTAACGATATGCGGCAAAGGATATATGTTTTGTTATTCGTAGAATTTTTCTGAGCACAAATACATTTTCGCTTAGTTGAATTAATAAAATATAGACATTTTGAAATCTCAATATTGTTTGATTGTTTATTGACAGAAATTTTGAAAGGTTAAAAGAGTGATATTGAGTTCAAAAATGAACATAACCATTTATTTATATACACCAATTGTGTGGGGAGCTGTGGGGGAGTTGTCTGAAAAAGTGATTCTGCATACCTCATCTCTTCAACAAATCTAATTGTTGAACCATAATTCATATAGTTCTTATCGGGTCAATTCTATTGGTACCTTCTCCTCACGGGGTCAACATGTTGAATAATTATAATTCTCAAAAATTGCTGAGAAATTAACCGATGGTTTTTTTTACAGTGCACCACTAAATATTTTCTCTACGACACTTATCGGCCCACTCACTTTGATATTTCCTCTCCCCCCCCAAAGAATCTAAATTTTAACTAATTTTGATTTCAAAACATTAGGAAATTAGTAGTCTTTTTTTATAATTTCGTATATCTCAAAATATATCTACAAAGCGTAAGCATGGGATATATCGGTCCACTGCTTCTAGTACCTAGCCACCCAAGGGAAAACAATTTAATTAACAACTCACAAAATACCACCTTCCAAATTCCTTAAGACTTTGCACATCCCAATATATATTCTTTCAATATTAGCTGAGTGTAAAAATGGTGTGTATCGATTCATTATTTTCGGTACCTCAATATTTTTTTAAAAAATATACACCCAATTATATATGAAGTGGATGGAGTAGTGGATATATTACAAATGTATCACATCAGAATATTTATATTTATTTAGGTTAGGTGCGAACATAAACAATATTGGCCCACTCCTTCCTTACCAGCCGCAAAAAGGATTAACATTTTGAATAATCATAATGACAGTTTGATTATTTTTAATAAGGGTAATTAGGTTAAAGATATGCATATCTTGGAAAGCAGACTAATGCCTTCAAACTTGTTTTAATTTCAGTGTTTGGGGTATTAAAGGAAGAGGTTGGATATTCTTAATTTCCAATTCCAATCAAAGTTATTGTTGCTTACTGGCTTGATTATAGGTTTTTTTCAGAATGAACTGCTTCTGCAATGAATTAAGCAAAAGCTATAATCGTGCGGGGCCGATCATGTGATACCTACCCCCCTTATAACCAAATATATTTTTGGAAATTTTCGTTTTAGAATTGATGTCATAGAGCCTTGCCCAGATGTTACCCTTAGCTTTTTGACCGGGGGCATTTGGCCTATATTTTCGCTCTCTCAATTTTACACAAAAGTCTTAGTATAATCCAATGGTCAACCAAAATGCTCGACTTCTTTCCTATCCCTAACTTTTTTCTTGTGCAAATTCCATGGGGATCGGACGATAATTGCGACCTGTAGAGCGACTGTAAAATTAGGAAAATTTTAATTTTTTGGTTTATTTGAACCCCCTATGTTTACATCTTCAAAAACAATAGGTCTACCCCCATGTAAAATTTCATGAGGATCGGACGACAATTGTTTCCTGTATATAATACTCTCAATACATATTGTTGGGGGTGCAGAAAAACTTAAGAAAATTTACAATTCAAAATTGTAAGTCAAATTGAAAAAATCGCATGCGAGATAAATATGACAAAATTAAAAAAAAAACTAGTAAGCAAAGGCTATAGTCGTGCGGGACCGACCATGTGATACCCTGCAACACTACAATATGTTCGAAGTCCCCTTATATCCAAATCAATTTTGGAAGATTTTGTTTTTGAAATAATGTCAAAGAGCCCTGCCCAGAGGTTATCCTTAGTTTTTTGACCCGGAGAATTTGGCCAATAGTTACGCACTCCGCAGTGTTGTTAAGTATTCAAAATAATTTACACGAAAGATGTGGTCTATTTAACATCTAATTATAATCCAATGGTCATCCAAAATGCTAAACTTCTTCCCTGTCCTTAACTCTCTTCTGATGCGAAATTCAGTGTCGATTAATTTTCAATTGTGGCCTATAGAGCGATAACAAAATTAGAAAAAAATAAATTATTTTAGTCCATTTGCAACTCTAAATGTACATCTTAAGAACAATAGGCTTTAATTCTGACCTTAACTCTACTCCCATGCAAAATTTCGTGAGGATCGGACAATAATTGCGACATACAAATATCCTCAAAACGTAGTGTTGAGGAGTGTACAAATTTAGAAAATTTACAATTCAAACTTGTAAGTCAAATTGAAAAAATCGCCAGCGAGAAAAATATGACAAACTTTAAAGAAAAAAAAAAAAAAATAACAAAAAATATTAATTTTTATTGACCATAAGTTGACTTATAAGTTGAATAACTAGTATCTATCTCTTTAATACATATATTGTACCTATTTTGCTATATAGCCGATATCTTTTCTATCAGCATCAGTGTAATGGTCAGAAGTGATCTCTTAATGTATTTGGAATTTGACCGGGTTAAAGAATATTCACGGTTTAGTGGACACTTTCGTATTTTTGATATAAAAGTAATAACTTATTTTACCCGCTAAGTATTGTCCTATGAGAACTTAAATTGGTTGGCTTCTGCCCAGCCCTAAACTATAACCCCATGCAAACTTCCGCGTTGATTGGTTTATAATTGTGGTCTGTAGAGCTACAGCAAAATCAGGAAAATGTTTCTCTTTTTAGCCCATTTCAACCATTAAATATTCTGCGATCATCTCCAAAAACACTAGGCTTCTATTGACTGACCCTAACTCCACCTCCATTTTCAATTTCGTGAGAATCAGGTCATAATTGCGACCTGTTAATTAACCTGTATTATAAATTAACATGGACAGACGGATGGATGGACATACATAACAAGATCAACTCAGTTCGGCGAGATAGGAAGATCCATATATAGTAGTTTTCTATGTCGCGGACCAATATTTCGATGTGTTATATAATTTTTGGTCCAATCAAATTTATAATACCCCCAATGCATTGTGTTGTAGGGTATAAATATCACAAAAGCCGTCTTCTCGTAGAGTATGAAACCAGAAATTATTTTATTTTACATTTCAAATTGTATTTTTGATGTAGATATACGTTCCTTGAATATTAAAACCGTAAATAATATTGAAATTTTTTTGTATTTTTATAATTATTTATTTATTTTTATTTAGATTTTGCTGAAAAAGTTATGGTGGGATCATAACATTTTAACTGAACCGATTTCGGTCTACAATCCATTGTCATTTAATTAATGCAAATTGACTTTGGCATAACTGGTGGCATGACCATAACCATGACCATAGCCATGACCATAACCATGACCTCCATAGGCACCTTTCCAGCCACCATGGCTGTGATAGCTTTCAGCATGATTTGCCTGACCCAACTTCTTGACCACAGCATTGAAACCATGGTGATCATCAGCATGATAATCCACCACACGAGTGGTGCCATCGGCTTCCTTTAAGGTGTAACTACCTATTAAATTATAAATTTTAAATATGAAAAACTATGTCTCCCATATAATATATTTTATTTCTTACCCTTTACGTTATCACCATCCCGCTGTTCCCATTGGTTCTTGTTATCGCCAGTCTTAGAGTCCTGCACACCATATTCAAATTGGTATTGGGGATATGAATGATAATCTTGGTGATCCCAGCCACCATGGCCATAACTAGCAGCATCGCCATGACCATATCCAGCACCACCATGACCATATCCAGCACCACCATGACCATATCCAGCACCACCATGACCATAATCAGCACTACTATGGCTATACGAAACTCCGCCATGGCCGTCATAACCGGCACCACCATGTCCCGACCAACCCTGACCATGATAACCATCACCATGATTGACTACCGTGCTATAACTGCTTGATCCGCCATGATGCAAGCTACCAGCAGCTGCTAAACCGGACAATGCCAAAAAGGATCCAACACTCAGGAATTTCATATTGATTTTGGAAATTCAAAATTTAGGTGTAACTATTTATTTTATGTTAATTTGGAACTGATAACATGTTTTGCTTTGTCTTGACTATTTATACTAAAATATTAATGCAACGACTGACCTCTGTTATTATTCTTTTTTCGTTACAACTAATTAAATATGTCATGTTTTGCTTTGTTTTCCCTTTGTTAGCAATTCACCTTTCAATGTTAAAACCAACACCTTGCATTTTAGGGTATAACAAAATGAGAATACAGTCTATGACATGGTTAGTAATATCTCTGCTTGCAAATAATTTTGGATATTAGTCCACAACTTCTAGTAGCTAACATGTATTGACATTTTCCGATTTTAATGGGTTCGATAACGAATGGGAGGGAGAATATGGTCATATGTCCCAGCAAACATTCATTTCAGCCGCAAAAGCAATCTTATGCGCTCAAGACTAATTTTTTAACCGGAAGCAAGAGAGAGAGAGAGAGGGTGAGAGAGAGAGAGAGAGAGAGAGGGGGGGGGAATGGAGGGAGGAAGCGACTCTGAGTGATTTTAATTTAATTACATTGTGCAACAAAATTCAATTTTTTTCCAAAATGTCGAAAAAAAGATTGAAACAAGAAAATGTCTGAATAACGTTTAGGAGCAGAAGGTAACCCAGATAGGGGAACAAAATCCTCCCGTCCGAAGACTTTTGTTAATATCCTTTTTACGCTTGCCTTTAATCCTTGCATATTAGACAGATGTTTTGTATGTATTTCTGCCCAATATTTTGAAGCACAAGAGATTGGAGGGGTTAGTCACTATGGTTGAAGGTTTAATTTGCTGTAATTTCAGATGTAGGCAGTCATTGATAATTTCAACTCTTTACAAAAAAAAAAAAAAAAAAAAAAAAACTAGTAAAGAAAGTTCTAAAGTCGGGCGGGGCCGATTTTATGATACCCTACACCACTTTGCTAATTTTGTTGAGCTCCACATAACAATTAAAAGTTTTTATGGGAGAATTCAACCATACATCCTATGATTATAATTATACTTTAAAATTCAAAGGACTAAATATGTCGAAGGATTTGTATCTTTTAAATTCGGACTTGTATTGAAATCAGATATATATCAGAAAAATATATATATGGAAGCTATATCCAAATCTGAACCGATCTCGATAAAATTTGGCAAAGATATTTCTGAGCTGTATTTGATATATTTCCCTGAATATCGTTGTTACGGAGTGCATATTACGGTTGTGGGTAACAAATACAACAAATCGAATGAACAATATATATGGGACCTATAGCTATATCTGAACCGATCTTCACCAAATTTGGCATACTACCTTCTAGACTCAATTCGGTCATAAGTGCCATTTGGGCAAATATTAGACGTTTGGTGCACAATAAAAGGTAAATCGGACGAAGTTATATATGGGAGCTATATCCAAATCTGAACCGATCTCGATAAAATTTAGCAAAGGTATTTCTGAGCTGCATTTGATAAATTTCCCTAAATATTGCTGTTATAGAGTGCATATTACGGCTTCGGAGGACAAAAAATAACAAATCGGATGAACAATATATATAGGAGCTATAGCTATATCTGAACCGATTTCGATCAAATTTGGCATACTGATTTGGTTGTATGTGCAAAATTCCATACTATTCGGGCTGATATTAAAAATTAAATCGGACGAAGATATATATGGGAGCTATATCTAAATTTTTATCAATTATCTCCAATTTCAATAGGGTTCGTCCTTGGGCCAAACAAATGTTGTTTGGAAAATTTCATCTCAATCGGATAATAAATGCGACCTGCAATTTGTTCACAAGAATACATGGACAGACGGACGGACTGACATGCATAAATCAACTCACAAAGTGATTCTATGCAGATCATCAAAAGGAACTGTGGGTCTATCTCGTTTCTTTTTTCTTATTTCCTGTTACAAACAAATGCACAAAGACATAATACCCTGACCACCTTGTGGTTTAGGGTATAAAAATTTGAAAGGCAAATAATTGGAACAAAGTTATAACATGAATATTTCCAACATATTGCATGGTCATAAAGGTTAACCGAAATTTCGAAATATGCATTGAACTATTTTAGTATAAAAACCCAACATACGACAAGTAAACGGCATCAGTTCCTAATCATTTCACAGTCAAGCTTCAATTTTTGCAAATCAATATGAAATTCTTGGGTCTTGGGACATGGTGCCAACAACTATGGTCGTGTTGGAGCTGGTCATGGACATGGTGGTGATGTTGTTTATAGCCACACGATTATCACTCTTATCCCAGATACGACTTTGAATATGGTGTGCAGGACTCGAAAACCGGTGATGTCAAGGATCAATGGGAACACAGAGATGGTGATCAAGTGAAAGGTGGGAAATGAAATATTTATAATATTTTGTCTTCATTACTTGACCCTGTTTCTTATTTATAGGTAGCTACACCTTAAAGGAAGCTGATGGCACTACCCGTGTGGTGGACTATCATGCCGATGACCATCATGGTTTCAATGCTGTTGTCACGAAATTGGGCACTGCCTCTCATCCAGAAACATATCATCACCAGCATGGAGATTGGGAAGGTGGTAATGGAGGACATGGTTATGGTCATGGCCATGGCTATGGTTATGGACATGCCAGCAGTTATGCCAAAGTCAAATTACATTAGGTCACCAATGACGATTTTCTGACGGATTTTTTACGATATGAGGCTTAAGATATATTAATCCTTTTATTTAATATTCTTGCCCACAAAAACATATTTGCTGAAAATATTTGAATAAATACGATAAGAGCATAGTTTGATTGTTAGTTGACAGAAATTATGAAAAAAAAATATTAATTATAAAAAATAATGATTTTTACCAAAAAAATTTGTCAATTTTAAAGATCTCACTTTTATCAAACCAAAGAATGAATAATGATAGCGCAGAGTAAGTAATTCAGTTTACGAAACCTCGCTGAAAAGGACTATCCAATTTTGTGTAAACTTTACAAATCCCAATATCTCTTTCAGGTTTTTGTTTTTGGGGAGGGGGGGTGGTGGTGTTTGTCAAAACTGGACAATATCGGGCCACTCTATCATGTACCTCCCTCACAAAGAGTCAAAATTTAGAATAATTGTAAGTATCCGATTTTCTTCATTTTTTACACATATTAATATTTTTACTAGCTAAGGTGTGAAGAAGGTAGATATCGTTCCACTCCTTCTGGTACTTCCCTCACATTGGGATAACAATTTTGAATAAACATGAAGCTCATAAAACGCGAAATGAGAATTTGATTATCTTCAAACTTGGCACTTTGCACCCATTTCTAGCAAGGCAAGACCAGATGTAAAAATGGAATATGTCGGACCACTCCTTCTGGTACCTCCCCCACACTGGGTCAAAATTTTAAATAATTATAACTCTTCCAATTTCACACATTTCAACATTTTTGATAACAGAAGATCACTTAACTTGCGAAACAAGTCAGTATTTCTTTTCAAACTATATCTTAATAGTTCTCTCAACCAGAAATCTGACGCCCCCCTCTATCTGGTACTTCCCCTACCAAAGATTTAAAATTGGATTAACAAATTATACGCATAAAATTGACAGTATATGCATATCCCAATATTTTTACCAGCATTAGATAAAGTGAAGGAAGTTGTCGATATGGTCCAAATCTGGCAGACTAGAAACCTCTACCATTACGGGTCAATAGATTAAATAATTACAAAAAATATTTAAACTACAAGTGCCCGGTACTCCGTCAGCGAAAAGACCTCCTTCAAAATTTAGAGGCATTCCAACAGTTTGTGTTAGGCATATTTATAACCTCCACCATACATAATATGGAGGGTATATTAAGTTTGTCATTCCGATTGTAACTCATCGAAATAATAATTTTAGACCCAACAAAGTGTATATATTCTTCACCAGCGCAAAATCCTAAGACAATTTAGCCCTGTCCGTCCGTCTGTTGTAATTACGCTAGAGTCAAAACGTCTGCAGGCAGGTCAAGTTCGAATATGCGCTATATCGTTCACTATATCGTATAGCCCCCATATAACGATATTCGGTATTTTGATGATTTTAACCATATTTTTTTCATTGGAATTTTCTTAAATTCTACACAAGGAGGTTTTTGTGAGTTCTTTACCCCATGAAAAATAATTGCCCATATAAGTATACCACATCATATAGCCCCCATATAACGGTACTCCCGATATTCGGTATTTTGATGATTTTAGCCACATTTTTCAATGGAATTGTCTCAAATTCTACACAAGGAGTTCCTTCTAAGTACTTTTTGCACTAAAAGATAGTTGTCAATGTAGGTTCACGATATCGAATTGCACCCATACCATTGTACGTAACGATATTCGCTATTTTATTGATTTTAGCGACTTTTTACCGAAATTGTTTTAAGTTTTGTATTTAAAGTTCGTAATAGGTACTACAGCCTATGACAAAAAGTTGCGTACGAAGGTTCACGTCTTCGTATAGCCCCCACATAACGATACCTACCGATATTTGGTATTTTGATTATTTTAGGAACAATATTCACAGAGTGGTATTTTTCGAAAAATTATTTTTTGAAAATGTCTCAAGTTCCTTCCAAACGGGGTTTTTATACCCTACAACGCTATGTGTTGGGGGTATTATAAATTAGATTGGGCTAAAAATTGTGTAACACCTCGAAATATTGGTTTCCCACATAGGAAAGTATATATGGATCTTCCTATCTCGCCGAGCTGAGTCGATCTTGCTATGTATGTCCGTCTGTTTGTCTGTCCGTCTGTCCATGTTAATTTGTAATCACTCTACAGGTCGCAATTACGGCCCGATCTTCACGAAATTTAGAACGGAGGTGAAGTTTGGACCAGAATAGAACCCTATTGCTTTTGGAGATGATCGCACAATGTTTAGTCCATAATGCTGAAAAATTTCTTGATTTTGCAGTTGCTCTACTGGTCGCAAATATAGACCAATCGACGAAGAAGTTAGCATGGGTCTAGAGCTTAGGGCTGGGCAGAAGCCTTCCAATTTTGATATTCATCGGGTAATATTTAGTGTGTTAAATAGGCCACAACATTTGTGTTAAATAAAAGTCAAATTTTCCATTAAACCGCGAATATTTTTAATCCCGGCGAAATCACAAATAGACAAATAGGTCAATTCTGACCGTTACGTCGATGCCGATAGTAAAAATATCGGGTATATATAGCGAAATATATACAATGTATATATTTCGGTATATGGCTGAACCGATTTTGACAAATTTTGTCAATTCAGATTGCCCTCTTGGCATAAAAGGATAAAATCTAAAAAAATCGCGTGAAAATCCGTCAATAATGATGTTAATGTAGATTTTGTAGTATTTTATGACATTTTTTATTTATTTATATTTTTTATCGATTTTTTCAATTTGACTTATAATATTGAAGTGTATATTTTGTAATATTTTTTCACCTTACAACACAGGTTGGGTTTATTATATACAGGTTGCAATTGTCGTCCGATCCTCACGAAAATTTCTCAAGGGTATGGTTAGGTCAGAAGGGCTGGGTCTATTGTCCGCAATATATTTAGGGGTTGAAATGGACCAGCAACTAAAAATGTTCCTAATTTTGCAGCCGTAATAAAGGTCACAAATAAAAACCAAAGGACACAACATTACTCACAGGCGATATCCGAAAGACCCAAGAGGCGAACTTTCGGCTTTTTAATGCTGATTTCGGTGACTAATATAGCCTAATATCGTAGACAAGCAAATCTAATAGATGAGTCTAAATTTGGAAATATAGAGGTGCCTCTTGCTTTTGGAGATGATCGCAAAAAATATTGGGGTTCAAATGAACCATAAACAGAAAAAAATTCTTAATCACACAATTGAAGCCAATCGATACGCCTGAGAAGAGATTTAAGGATAGGGAAGAATTCTAGCATTTTGGATGACCATTGGATTATATTTAGCTGTAAAATGGACCACAACAACTAACAGCGCGACGGAGTGCGTAAATATTGGGCAAATGTCCTTGGTCAAAGTACTAAGGGTAATATCTGGGCAGTGCTCTATGACATAATTTCAAAAGTGAAATCTTCCAAAATTGATTTGGACATAAAGGGACTTCTACCATATTGTAGTGTTGTAGGGTATCACATGGTCGGCTCCGCACGACTATAGCCTTTGCTTACTTGTTTCTTTTTTTGAAGATGTCTAAAGTTCCTTCCAAGTGGTGGAGGGTATTTAAAGTTCGGCCCTGCCGAAATTAGCTTCTTTTTTACTTGTTGGTACTCACATGGACGAATGGACCGACATGCATAAATCGACTCAGAAAGTGATTCTATGAAGATCCTCAAAAGTAACTATGGGTCTACCTCGGTTCCTTCTCCCTATTACAAAATCCACTATGTGGTATAGATTATCATGATTACCTTCTACACCAAAAGTCTTCTAAAATTTTAATCTGATGTTTACCGGGAAGGGTATTTGAAAAAGCATTGCATGGACCCACATTCTTTTTTTCTGAAAGTTTCGGCCCAAGATACCAACCAACGGCTGTATTTGTCACAGAATAGTCTAAGTCATCGCCAAAAATATAAAAGGTATGTACACTTTTTGGTATATCCCTCATATGAGAGTATCTCCCCTATATCGGCATTTTGGAGGTCTTAGCCGGCAACAATTTGATATTTCGAAGTTTTTGTTGTTGGCACGTTTCCTTACAAAAAAATATTCAATGCAGCTCCAGATTTGGGTATAGTCTCCATAGAACGCTGGACCCTTATTTTCGGTATTTTGTCGATTTCGGTCCCATGTCCAACGAAATTATCTGTAATTTAATATATCTGGTTCTCAGTGAGTAGTTTAACTGCTCTAAAAAACAATCTTGCGAAATATGTAAGTTTTCCTATGGGGTGTGTAGAAAGATCGTCTCTCCCAGCCTTAAAAAAATTGTCTGAGGTCCTAACCTCCAAAATCAATTTTCAAGCCAAATATAAAAAACACGCCCAAAAAATTCATTTGTGAAAATTTGCATTGATTTTATTTTTTCTAAAATATTTTTGTATGAGCTATATATTGGTAGGGTATCACATTTAACAGGGAGCATGAAGGAACATAGCCAAAGGCCTATATCGTCAATATATATTTTTTTTTGGTCCAAAAATCCACTGGGGTTACATTAGTGCAAGTATACCTTGGCATAACTGGTGGCATGGCCGTGGTCATAGCCATGACTATAACCATGATCACCATAGCCTCCTTGATCGCCATAGCCGCCATGATGATGATAGGTTTCGGGATGATGGGCATGACCCAATTTCTTGACCACAGCATTGAAACCGTGATGGCCATCGGCATGATAGTCTACCACACGGGTGGTGCCGTCCGATTCCTTTAAGGTGTAGCTGCCTAAGAAAATAATATTTTTTTATTTAATTAATAATAAATTAAATACAATTTAATAATATTAAATATAATTATTATGTTTTTTTAAAAAATATTCCTTACCTTTAACATGATCACCATCTCGGTGTTCCCATTGATCCTTGATGTCACCGGTTTTCAAATCCTTGACTCCATATTTAAATTCATATTTGGGATGCGAATAATAGTCATGATGATCCCAACCGCCATGGCCATAACCAGCATCACCATATCCCGAAGAACCGTAACCGCCCTCGGCACCATATCCATGGCCATAGCTGTCATCATGCTTGACAACGGTGGCATAACTGCTTGCGGCACCATGATGCAAATGACTGGCTGCAGCCAAACCGGACAGGGCCAAAAAGGATCCAATGGTTAGGAATTTCATTTTTTGCGATTAAAACTCAGACAACAAATTTGAGGTTCGTTCTATGAGGAACGTTTAAGGGTAATTAAGGAACTGATGCCAATTACTTGGCTCATTGCAGCTATTTATAGTAAAATCAAATTACAATACCGCTTGTTTTGAATATTCACTAAATTCAAAATTCGTTCTTTCAGATTATTTTGTTTTTGCTAATTAATTAAATTCCTTCGTTTTTGTTGTTTTACCGTTCTTCATTTATTCATTTTTTGCTTGTAATTTTACCTTTCAAATGCTAGCATGAGAATATTCCATTATGAATGGTGGTCATGAATGAATAGCTGGTTCGCCACCAAATCAAAGCTACCAAAAAAAAAATCAATAATTAAAAAAAGTTATTAAAAAAATAGAACGGCCAACAAATAACAAAGAATTCAACGTTATTATATAAATACCTCATGGCTGCAGAACCGATAACATCAGTTCTTTGTTTGCAATCAAATCGAACGGAATTGAAATTCGCAATGAAATCCTTAGCCGTTTTAACATTTTTGGCCATTTGCAGTTTGAGTGCAGCAGGATATGCCGGCCATGGTGCCAGCAGCTATGCAATAATAACAAAGCATGAGCCAACATATCATCACGGCTGGTCAGGTAGTTATGGCGGTGGCGGGGATAGTTATGATTATTCCGCTGGCGGCTATGGCGGTGCATCGGAAAGTCATGGCTGGTCAGGTGGCCATGGTGGTGGGGATCATCATGACTACTACTCACATCCTAAATATGAATTCAAATATGGTGTTAAGGATTTAAAAACCGGTGACATCAAGGATCAATGGGAACAGCGGGATGGCGACAAAGTCAAGGGTAAGCTGCATGGAAAAGAAAATTGCAAAAAATTTTAAAAATAAAATATTTTTATTTTTTCTTTTAATTTTAGGCAGCTACTCTCTGAAAGAGGCCGACGGCACCACCCGCATTGTGGAATATCATGCCGATAAGCATAACGGTTTCAATGCCATTGTCAAGCAAATTGGACACCCTGTAGTTCACCATAAGGTCTATTATGGCGGTTTTGAAGGCAGTTATGGCGGTCATGGTCATGGCCACGCCACCAGTTATGCTTCTGTGAAGCTTCATTAACAAATTGGATACCTTAGACATTCAATTTTCCCATTAATATCCTTGGCACCAAATAAAACAGACTCCGAATATCCATTATGTTAATAACTAGATTAGACATTATTTTTCCTGAAAAAATATATACCCCTCCAGTACAATTTATATCTTGATTTTCATTTCAACGCCTTTAGCCGGGGATGTACACAGAAATTAAGTACCAAAGTAGATAGAAAGGTAGAGAGAGAGAGAGAGAGAGAGAGAGAGAGAGAGAGAGAGAGAAATTATTAGAGAGACATGATATACACCCTCAGAAGTCGTATGGCTGAGGCTGTAAAAATCCGAAATCAAATTTATTTTTCGAAATGTTTTGTCGCTAAAGGCAGAAACGTGTTCAGGTTTGGACCCGGGCTCCTCTCCGAAATGGCTATTTTTCTGCCATTTTTGAAGGAAAAGGTTCCGGCCCGAGAACCTCTCCCAAATGGCTACTTTTCAGCCGTTTTGGAAAGAAAAGTAGCTATTTCGAAGAGGAGCTCGGAACCAAAGCTTTTCTTTTAAAAGTGCTAGAAAAGTAGCCCTCTTAGCCTGAGTACGTCCTTTATTCCATTCGGATTGTTATAAACTCAGCCATATGGTCACAGATGGTAAATATCATGTCTCTCTGATGACTTCTAAAGGGATTAAGTGGTTTTATCCAAACTTTGCACATCCTAAGCTGCCTGTCAAACCTAGATCGGGTTCGAAGATGGAGAGTATCAGCACACTCCTACCCTTCTGAATCCCCTTTAGGGGTAAAAATCAAGAAGATTATAAAAACTATTAAAAGCAACGCAACTTGGTCTGAACCGAACTTTTTATAGCACTGAGCACTGAGAACCAAAATTTTAACAAGTGAAAAAGCAGTTATATTCGGCCGGGTCAAATTTTTAATACCCTAAACTATTTTGAAGGATCTTGAAAAAAATCCGTCGAAAAATACCACTTAAATGAAAATTGTTATATGGGGGCTATACGAAGACGTGGACCTGCAAACATTTTAGTCATAGGCTGTACAGGGTGAGATGAAAAACCTACAATCAAATTCAGACTCCTGTCATTTCTAAGCCACTCGTCCGACAGCTGTTAAAATTATTCCAGTGACAGTACATTTTATTGTTTACAAACGTACAAAAGCATTTAGGTGAGAATTTTCCAGAAAAAAAGTTATTCGTGATGGAATTCAAGCCTGATTTCTTTATATTTGGCTGGAAAACCACAATTGGCTATCGTTAGAGCACTTCAGCATTTCAATGTGAATAGATCTTTTGTGTCTCGTACTATCGCTCGTTACCGCGATACTGGTAGCGTAGCCCGACGTCAAGGAAGTGGACGGAAGAAAACAGCAACATCAGCAGAAATGATTCGAAAAGTAAGGAAGCGACTTGATCGAAACCCGCGTCGCAGTGGCCTAAAAATGGTTCGTGAGCTGAACATATCGCAATATTCTATTAGGCAATTTTTGAAAAATGAGCTTAGGGTTAAGCCATTGGAATTCCAAAAGGTGCAACTTACACTGCAACAGAAAGAAAATAGACTCAATAGAGCTATAGAGTTGCTCGCTTGGCCGAAAGTGGTGAACTGCCGAATTTAGTTTTCTCCGATGAAAAAACATTCGTTATCCAGCAGTTTATAAACAAACAAAATGATCATGTTTTCTTGCCAACAAGTTAAAAAGCAGTAAGTTCGGCCGGGCCGAACTTTGACTACGCTAAAATAATCAAAATAGCGAATATTGGGAGGTACCGTTATATGGGGGTGTACGAAGACGTGGACCTGCATATACAATTTTCTGCCTTAGGCTGTAGAATCCATTTCGAACTTCAAACACCAAATTTGAAACAATTCCTGTGAATAATGTCGCTAAAATTAACAAAATACCGAATATAGGGAGGTACCGTTATATGGGGCTATACGAAGACGTGTACTTGCACAGACAATTTTCTGCGTCAGGCTGTAGTATTTATTTCGAACTTCAAATGTCAAATTTTAAACAATTCCGGTGAATAATGTCGCTAAAATCAACAAAATACCGAATATCTGGAGGTATCTTTATATGGGGGCTATATGAAAACGTGGACCTAAATGACCCATTGCCTACTGGCAAAATAAACGTGTGTGCAAAATTTTAGACTTCTATCTCAATTCGTTCGGAAGATAGCGTCGGACAGACATGGCTAAATCATCTAAGAATTTTACGCTGATCAAGAATATATATATATATACTTTGTTGGGCCTAAGATCATTATTTCGATCAGTTACAAACGGAATGACAAAATGAATATACACTCCATAGTATGATGGAGGGTATAAAAATGTCAGCTGAAAATGTGCACCTTCGGTTGGCAACCAGACCTCAAGCGCTGGCCATGGTGATGGTGTGGGTCGACATAACAGCCGATGGTCGCTTTCCGCTCGTATTAATCAGAATAAATGCCGATTATTATCGCGAAAATATTATGGAGGGTGTATTAAAGCTTTCGGCACGCAAACGATTTGGCCGCAGATCTTGGACATGCCAACAGGCCTCAGCATCATCGCACTCAGCACGCGCCACCCAAGAATGGTTACAAAATGAGGTTCCTCGCTTCATTTCCAGCGCACAATGGCCAGCAAAATCCCCGGATACCAAATTGTTGGACTACTGTGTCTAGAGTGTTTTGGAAAGCAACGTTGGAACTAAAAACCAGTAAAGAAAGTCTTAAAGTCGGGCGGGGCCGACTTTATGATACCCTACACCACTTTGCTAATTTAGTTGAGCTGCGCGTAACAATTAAAAGTTTTTATGGGAGAATTCAATCATACACGCTATGATTATAATTATAATTTAAAGTTCAAAGAACTAAATATGCCGAAGCAATTGTATCTTTTAAATTCGGAGTTGTATTGCCCATTTGGTGCACAATTAATCTGAAATCGTATAAAAATATATATGGGAGCTATATCCAAATTGGAACCAATCTCGATAAAATTTGGCAAAGATATTTCTGAGCTGTATTTGATATATATTTCACTGAATATCGTTGTTACGGAGTGCATATTACGGCTGTAGGTAACAAATATGACAAATCGGATGAACAGTATATATGGGAGCTATAGCTATATCTGAACCGATCTTCACTAAATTTGACATACTAGCTTCTAGACTCAATTCGGTCGTAAGTGCCAAATCATCCAATTTGGGCAAATGTTAGACGTTTGGTGCACAATCCAATGTAAATCGGACGAAGTTATATGTGGGAGCTATATCCAAATCTGAACCGATCTCGATAAAATTTAGCAAATGTATTTCAGAGCTGTATTTGATAAATTTCACCAAATATTGTTGTTACAGAGTACATATTACGGCTGCGGAGGACAAAAATAACAAATCGAATGAACAATATATATGGGAGCTATAGCTACATCTGAAGCGATTTCGATGAAATTTGGCATACTTATTTTGAGGTCCAATCTGATCGTACGTGCTAAATTCCATACTATTCGGGCTGATATTACACGTTTGGTGCACAATAAAAGGCAAATCGGACAAAGATATATATGGGAGCTATATCTAAATTTTGACCGATTATCTCCAATTTCAATAGGGTTCGTCCTTGGGCCAAACAAATGATTTGTGCAAAATTCCATACTATTCAGATTGATATTACACGTTTGGTGCACAATAAAAGGCAAATCGGACGAAGGTATATATGGGAGCTATATCTAAATTTTGACCGATTATCTCCATTTTCAATAGGGTCCTTGGGCCGAACAAATGATCTGTGAAAAATTTCATCTGGATCGGGCAATAAATGCGACCTGTACTTTGTTTACAAAAATACATGGACAGACGGACGGACATGCATAAATCGACTCAGAATGTTATTCTATGCAGATCATCAAAAGGAACTATGGGTCTATCTCGTTTCCTTTTGCCTGTTACAAACAAATGCACAAAGACATAATACCCTGACCACCTTGTTGTGTAGGGTATAAATACCAAGAGGTCGATAACCTCAAGCAAGCGCGTCGCCGGGAATGGGCCAAAATACCGTAGGGCAACATTCGGGCAACGTGTGACGGTTTCATTGACCGTCTGAAGGCTATAATTCGTGTCAAATTTGACTAATTCGAACAAATCTAAACTCATTCTAAAATTTAAAGTTGATTTGTTTGTAAATTTGAATCAAAACTAGAAATACCATTAGAAGGGGATGTACATAAATGTGGACCCATATAGTCCATTTTCAATTCCAAACAGTTCACCTATCTTAAAAGTTTTAAGCTTTATGTTGATTACAACAGATGGACGTAATTCTTTCTATTGTCCGTATTTAAATCGACATTTATTTTTATGTATACTCGTCACAAATATATAGCTTATTAACTCAAAGAGTGATATAACTCAACAAATTCGTTTAGTTGAATTCGCAATTTCTATACAGTTTTCATGTTGGTATCAGTAGAACTGTAGAGATTTGTTTTCTTAGAGTTTGACATGAATCAACAAAACCAAAAATTGATAACTTGAAATGGGGTTTCTTCTCGCAGCAGACTTTTTTGATGTGATGTGTGATACTCTATTGACAAATGAGCGATAGGACTTTATTAGGTCTACGAGAAATATGTCAAGAATTGGCCGGCCAATCGTTTAATACCCTCCACCATTAAAAAAAAAAAACGTTGAAAAATACCGCTTAAAATTCTGAAAATCAGTTGTTAACTTTATATGACCCTATGCGAAGACGTGGATCTGTACAGGCAAATTTCTGTCATTGGGCACCCATTATGAACTTCAAATACCAAATTTTAAACAATTCCGCTGAAAAGTTTGACACAAATCATAACTACCCATAAAAGGGTAAAAATTTTGAATGACTCTGTACTACAAAATTAAATTTTTTCAAAATTGATAAAATTAAAAATATAAGGTGATTTAAAAGTTTACATGGAGGAAAAAAACCGAAGGAGTGACCCAATATTGTACATTTCGTGTCAGATCTAAGCCTGATATACATATTGCAACCTGCCGAATATTGACTATATCTATAGATATGTGATCATTTTTGGAAAATGTTACCAGAAGGTCCAATATATATCGTATTCTCACCAGATCTGATGTATAGCTCCATCGTTATTCATAATTTTTACCCTTTTGTGTGAGAGGTACCAAAAGTAGAATTTACTTCTATCAAGATCTTGTGCTCATAGAAATGTTGAGATGTGCCATATTAGAAGAACATCGAAATAATAGTTCATATTTTATAAGAATTATAATTATTCAAAATTTTGACCTTTTTGGGGAGGTACTAGATAAAGTGGGCCGATAGCCTGACCTGGAATTGATAAAAATATTAGGAATTGCAAATGATTTCACGAAATTGGATGATCGTTTTTTGTTCTTAAACATAAATTATTTCCTGTGGAAATGTTGACATTTGTGGGGAAGGTACCAGAAGGAGTAGACCGATATTGCCCATCTCCGAACTCGATATAAATTTGACAATCATATTACGATGTACGAAGTTTGGACCGAGTCGGATAGTACCTTTGACAGTTGTCGTGCGAAACAGCTAGCCAGAGAGACAGACTGACAGCCCCATATCGGCTCCAAATGTCCTGAAAAGGATTTGGCCCAAAAAGACCTAAGGTCTAAAACCGTTATTTTAATGAGGCACTTTTTGGCCGTATCAAATGATACATACCCCCATATGGCTTTGGATAATTATATGGGGACGGACATCTTTGAATCAATTTGGATTTGTTTTTGGTAATCAGGAGTATATACCATACCGTCTGCGAATATTTCGAAGGATTGTAGAAAAAGTCATGGTAGAAGCTATGAATAAAAGGTTTTTGTTACAAGTTTTTAGAATTGTTATTTTTTATTGGAATATACATTAAAGGATTAAAGGATAGACTAACAGGAACCCGTTTTTTACAAATCGTTTCTTAAAAAATATACTCCCTGTCAAAAATAGTATTTTTAATTTACCAGCCATGGCCATGGCTAGTGTGACCACCACTTTCATGATGCTGAATTTCTTCGTGATGAGGGTGGCCAACATTCTTGACCACGGCATTGAAGCCATTATGTTTATCGGCATGATATTCTACAATGCGAGTGGTGCCATCAGCTTCCTTCAAAGTGTAGCCACCTAAAACATTAAAATAAGATTACAATTTTCAAAATTTTAATATTTCCTTCAAGGACAAGTACTTACCCTTAACCTGATCGCCATCCCTGTGTTCCCATTGATCCTTGACATCACCGGTCTTGGGGTCCTTTACACCATATTTAAATTCGTATTTAGGATGGGCATATTCATCATAATGCTCATCATGCTGCCATTCGTGGCCGTGGCCAGCATCATGAGAATCACTGGACAAGCTGTGACTTTCCTGATGACTCTCCCAGCCATGACCATGGCTCTCGTGACCATAACTCTCATGACCATGACCAGCAGATAAACTATGACTGTCACCACCATATCCATGCGACCAGTCGTGGTGATGGGCAGGTTCATGTTTAGTTTCTACCGAATAACTACTAACACCATGATGCAAGTGTCCTGCAGCAGCCAAACCGGACAGAGCCAAAAATGATCCTATGCTGAGTAATTTCATTGTTGCGTTTTTTTTTTTGCTTTAGTTTGTGTCTTGAAGCGAATCACTTGAATAATACTGTTTTCCAGTTAAGCATATGGTATTTATACTTATGATTTTTATTGTAGTTATTTTTTATTTCTTTTTGGTTTTGGATTTAGAAATATAACATTCCTTTCATATTTAAGGTTATTCAGTACTAAACTACATGCAGTAAAATTTGAAAACTATTTGCCATTATGTTGTTATTGTTGCTACTCTGACAGCGTACGCCAATAACTGCAAGCATTATTCATTCATTTACTTACCGGCTAGCTGGATGGTCGATTGGGGCTGTCTTGCAGCTGGCTGGCTTTAATTTTTATTCTTACTAACTGAAGTGCCAAAATTAAAACTTTTAGTGCGGGAAGTTATTGATAATTCAGAATCCATCAATGTAGATTTCATATTTTAATTCTTAATTTTTTGGAAATAAACCCTTGTTCTGCAAGCACTTTCTTTTCTTGAACAAGGTGAATTACGTAGAATATATCAGTAGATTTACAAAACGGAGCAAAGAAAGGCTCTTTGTGTGGGACTTATAATACGCCTATTGGTCCCAAAATTGTCCTTCGATTTTAAAGTTAGCATTACCATTTTCAAAAAACTGACTACGTTTCCTGCTAATTACGCCCTAGAAGACTATGTGCTGGGGGTATTGTAAGATTGGGCCAAAAAGTTTATGACACCTCGAAATATTGGTCATAGACTCACGATTTTATCGCCGAGCTGGGTGTGTCTGTGCATGTTAGTTTGTAATCCGGCTACAGGTCGCAATTATGGTTCGATCTTCACGAAATTTTGAATACAGGTGGGGTTAGGATCAGAATAGAAGTCTATTTGTGGTGATGTGCGCAAAATACTTAGGGGATGAAATGGACCAAAAACCTGAAAACCCCGTATGCAGTCCCTCAACAGGTCGCAATTATAGACCAATACACAGTGACAAGCCATGCCAAAAATCAAAATCCTGAATATAATAATTTTTTACTTTAGCGACGAAAATATTGTCTTAACATATCAAATTTTAATATTACAAGAATTTTTATACCCTCATCCATATGGCTACAGGGGGTATATATCATTTTATACGGTCTAAACGTGCCTAGTCGAAATAACGGTTTTAGACCCTAGGTCTCTTTGGACCAAATCCGTTTCAGAACATTTGGAGTCGATCTAGCGATGTCCGTCCGTCCGTCTGGCTGGTGCGCACGATAACTTTCGAAGGGAGTATCCGATTTGGTCCAAACTTGGTATAACGTAATATTTTTGTCAAACTTAGATCGAGTTCATAGATGGGCAATATCGGTCCACTCCTTCTGGTACCTCCAACACAAATGATCGAGATTTTCAAAAAATATATATTTTTTTTCTGCACAGAAAGAGAATCGATAATCCGACTTTGTTCCAACTTTGCAAATCCTGATATTTACGTCAGTTCTAGGTCAAGTGAAAAAATGGATAATATCGGTCCACTACATCAAGTACCTCCCCCCACAAAGGCCGAAATTTTGAATATCCATCAAGCTCTTAAAACACTAAATTAACATCCGATTCCATTCAGACTTGGCACATCTCAATATTTTCATAAACGCAAGATCTTTTATAAATATGGTAAAGAACGGATCATTCGTTCTGGTACCTCCCAAACAAAGGACCTAAGTTTTCAATAATCAAAACGAGCAAAGAATCCGAAATAAACATCCGATTCTCTTCATATTACACATATTACTAACTCAAGATCTGGTGTGAAGATGGGATATACCGGTCCACCTCCGCCACAAAGGGTCAACATTTTGAATATCCATGAAGCTCATTAAACGCAAAATTAACATCCGATTCTATTCAGACTTGTATGATGTGAGAGACCGATTGACTTCAAATTTCACATATCCCAATAATTTTAGTAACCCAAGGTCCGGTACCAAGATGGAATACATCGGTCCACTCCTTCTGGTACCTTCCCCACAAAGGGTCAAAATTTTAAGGATCCATGAAGCTCGTAAAACGCAAAATTAACATCCGATTCTATTCAGATTTGGAGCTTCTCAATATTTTCATCAACACAAGATTTGTTATAGAGATGGTAGAGATCGGACCATTTTTTCTGGTACCTCCCAACATAGGGTTCAAGATTTTTAAAAACAAAACGCTCAAAGAAGAAAACGAAAAAATAATCCAAATGCATCCATCCATCTACTCAAATTTCCCACATACATATATTATTTCTAACACAAGATCTGTTGTGAAGATGATATACATCTGACAACTTATAACTGTCATAAATTGCGAAACAATTCTGCGATTCTTTACAACTTGCTATATATAAATATTTCTCTCAACCAGAATGTGGAATTTATTGTTTCGCATAATGTTCGATTTTCTTGTAATTTTGCCCATACCAATATTTTTATCTGTATTAGATGAAGTATGAAAATGGAATATTTCCGCCGACTATTTGCACATTTTAACATTTTTTGAAAACTATCACATATCTCATATAAAGTGCAAGAAATAGCCAATATAGTCCAAGCCTGAAATATCATATTTACCTATGTCCGATGCTAAATGGACAATATTGGCTCATTCCTTCGGAACCTACTCCATAGAGGTTCAAAAATTTGAATAATCATAACAGAAGTTAAAATATATTTAAAACAAGTAAGCAAAGGCTACAGTCGAGCGGGGCCGACCGTTGAATACCCTATAACACTATAATAAATGATACAGTTTATATGGGCCAGATACTCGAAAGAATTCCACAACATATTGAGACAAATAATAAAAGAAAACCATCAGGCTTCGTTCTCTAATATTCGAATAATAGAAACTTGAACTAATTTGCTCATTTCCAATTTATAGGTAGATGTTGCACGTAAATGGTCTTCCTAGATCTGGAACCAATATTTCCCAAAGACCCATAATCTCTCAGAAGTGGCAAAAGATTAACATCTATTATTGGTTTTTGACTAAAACGCATCTATATGAGATACAGACATTTGACTATGTTCTTCAACGAAATCAGCCTTAACGAAATAGTCAGAAGTGCGTCTTTCCTGTGTTTGTGAATTCTCCAAAAAGACACTGGAATGGATATTTTCGTATTTTGTCTGCAAAAGTTGGCAAACTATTTCACACATTGAATATTTTTGGATGGCCATCCGAAACTGCTGTGCGGTAACCCCCATTCAAATGTGCGAGAGGATCGGGCGATAATTACGACCTGCTGACAATTTTGCAGTTTTTGGTCCATTTCAACCCCTAAATATATGGCGATCATCTCCAAAAAGATTCTGACCCTCATCTTATCCCCAAGCAAAATTTCGTAAGGATCGGGCCATAAGTGCGATCTGTATATGATATCCTGATATCCTAACTACTAGTTTTGTTAGCTGTAGAAATATAACCAAATGTTTAATTCACAATGAAAATATGCCAAAAATATAACAAAATTGAAAAAATATGAGAAAATGTTACAAAATCAATATTTTCATCTTTAGAGAGATATTTTTATGCGATTTTTTAGAAGTTTTTTCTTTCCCGCCAAGAGGCCATTCTGAATTAATGAGAACTGTCGAAATCAGTTCAGCCGTTCTCGACATATAAGAGATCTTTCAAGCATATCCTCTTTGATAGACATATATATCGCACATATTTTGCTATACATCCGATTTGTTGGATGTTAACATCAATGTAAAGGTCAGAAGTAACCTTGTCATGACTTTGTGATTTCGCCGGGATTTAAAATATTCGCGGTTTAATGAAAAATTTTGAATTTTTTCAACACAAAAGATATGGTCTATTTTACCCGCTAAATATTATCCGATGACCACCCAATTTGGTAGGCTTCTTCCCCGCCCTAAACTCTGGCTACATGCGAAATTCCGCGTCGATTGGTCTATAATTGCGACCTGTAGAGCAACTGCAAAATCAGGATTTTTTTCAATTTTTAGTTCATTTCGACCCCTAAATATTATGCGATCATCTCCAAAAGAAATAGGGTTCTATTCTGACCTTAACCCCACCTACATTCTTAATTTTGTGAGGATCGGGCCATGATTGCGACCTGTAGAGTGATTACAAATTAACCTGTACAGACGGACATACATAACTAGATCGACTGAGCTCGGCGAGATAGGAAGATCCATGAATACTTTCCTATGTGGGAAACCAATATTTCGAGGTGTTACTTAATTTTTGACCCAATCAAACTTATAATACCCCCAACACATAGTGTTGTAGGGTGTAAATAATATGACCACAAGGTGGTCAGGGTATTATGTCTTTGTGCACTTGTTTGTAACAGGCAAAAGGAAACGAGATAGACACATAGTTCCTTTTGATGATCTGCATAGAATAACATTCTGAGTCGATTTATGCAAGTCCGTCCGTCTGTCCATGTATTTTTGTAAACAAAGTGCAGTTCGCATTTATTTCCCGATCCAGATGAAATTTTGCACAAATCATTTGTTTGGCCCAAGGACGAACCCTATTGGAATTGGAGATAATCGGTAAAAATTTAGATCCCATATATATCTTCGTCCGATTTGCTTTTTATTGTGCACCAAACGTGTAATATCAGCCCGAATAGTATGGAATTTTGCACATACAACCAAATTAGGTCTGAAAATAAGTAATCGAAATCGGTTCAGATATAGCTATAGCTCCCATATATATTGTTCATCCGATTTTTTATTTTTGTCCTCCGCAGCCGTAATATGCACTCTGTAACAACAATATTTGGGGAAATTTATCAGATACAGCTCAGAAATACACTATAGCTCCCATATATATTGTTCATCCGATTTTTTATTTTTGTCCTCCGCAGCCGTAATATGCACTCTGTAACAACAATATTTGGGGAAATTTATCAGATACAGCTCAGAAATACACTTGCTAAATTTTATCGAGATCTGTTCAGATTTGGATATAGCTCTCATATATATCTTTATCTGATTTCAAAATAATTTTGCACCAAATGGGCAATACAAGTCCGAATTTAAAAGATACAAATGCTTCCGCATATTTAGTCCTTTGAACTTTAATTTATAATTATAATCATAGGGTGTATGATTGAATTCTCCCATAAATACTTTTAATTGTTATGCGCAGCTCTACTAAATTAGCAAAGTGGTGTAGGGTATCAAAAAGGTGGCCCCGCCGACTTAAGACTTTCTTTACTTGTTTTATCTGTAATAGATGAATTATAAAAATGGAAAACTTTCGCCGACTATTTGCACATTTTAGCATTTTTTGAAAACTACCACATATCTCATATAAAGTGCAAGAAGTAACCAATATAGTCCAAATCTGAAATATCATATTTACCTATGTCCGATGCTAAATGGACAATATTGGCATATTCTTTCGGCACCTACTCCAAAGAAGTTCAAAAATTTGAATACTCATAACATAAGTCAAAATATATTTAAAAATACATCTGTCGGCAAAACCGTTCCAAATCCATACTTTTGAAACATATATGCGGAATTTTGAAATAAAAATTGTATTTGTGTTAGGAAACCTTAATAACTATTTAAATTTTTAAATTAATAACAGGAACTTTTTTGATATTCCGAATATAGATGATATCGGGAGCATATCAGAAAGGGCATACTGAAAATCATAGAAATCGCATATTGGATTTGCAATTAAAGTGCAAAATAAATGCATCTAATAGCAATTCATGCACATATTTCTTAACACTAGCAATTAGTTTGCATATTAATCCAACTATAAGTTATAACAATGACCCATTTCGCCCTGACAGCTATTTAAAAACTATTTGGCGTAAACAGTTATTGTCAACGCATAATTTTGTGGTTATTTCAAAGAAAATACTACCCTTTGATGTTAATTGTTTAAATTGTTAATTAAACACATGTTAGTATGGCAAAACAATTTTACCACGAAATTAGCAATAACGCCACACAATTAGCTATTACTTTAACGCCCAAAAATAGATTTGAATGGAGTTGAATTGAATTGAATTCAAATGAATTGCAGGCAACCAACCAACCAATCAGCCGGCGAACAACTAAACGAATGAATGATTCTTGCAAAAATGTTATGACGTAGTCATCAGAGCAACAACAATAACAATACCGTGGCTAGCTAGCCAACCAACTAGCTGCTACTCCACGAAATGTGTTGATTGCCGGTTTAGTACTTTTTTGGAGTTAAGTACTCAATAACCTTAAATATGAAAGGAATGTTTGTTACACTTCTAAAATGCAGTAGGAAAAAAAAAGAAACCAAAAAACCGCCACACATTAAAAAATTAACAAATTAAAAAAACCTATTGAATTAATTTGGTCGGGAGTGTGCTGTGCTATATAAGCCATGCATCCAACTGGAATATGTTATCAGTTCTGTGGTCTTCATCAAACCAAAAACATAACTTCTTCTAACTCAACGTAACAATGAAATTCCTGGCTCTTGGTTCATTTTTGGCTTTGTCCGGTTTGGCTGCTGCTGGACATTTGCATCATGGGCACTCGGGCTATTCGGTTGTGACTAAACATGAACCTGCCCATTATCATGGCTGGTCCCATGGACATGGTGGTGACAGTCATAGTTTATCTGCTGGTCATGGTTATGAGAGCCACGGCCATGGCTGGGAGAGTCATCAGGAGAGTCACAGCTTGTCCAGTGATTCCCATGATGCTGGCCATGGCCACGAGTGGCAACATGATGAGCACTATGATGAATATGCCCATCCTAAATATGAATTTAAATATGGTGTAAAGGACCCCAAAACCGGTGATGTCAAGGATCAATGGGAACACAGGGATGGCGATCAGGTTAAGGGTAAGCAACTATTCTTGGGATAAATATTTCAGATTTGTTTAATTCTGATACTTATTTTGATTTTTTAGGTGGCTACACTCTGAAGGAAGCCGATGGCACCACTCGCATTGTGGAATATCATGCCGATAAACATAATGGTTTCAATGCTGTGGTCAAGAATGTTGGTCACCCTCATCACGAAGAAGCTCATCATGTTGAGCATGGTCACAGCCACCATGGGTGGTAAATGTAAACCGCGATAGACGAAATACGATGAATTGCTTAAAAAATAGATTAATGATAATCCTTTGTGAAATGTGATACACTGTAAATATATAATAAAGAATTATTTTGAAATATTAGTCACCCATTGATTTCTTAGACCAAAAATTAAAAAGAGTTTTGTAGAAGGACGCATTACAGCACGACCGACTAAAAATATTGAGAAAACCAGTAAAGAAAGTCTACTACCCTACACCCCTTTGCATATTGAGGAGAGATTTATATAACAAATAAAAATTAAAAAATCTAATGGATAATATATATGGGAGCAAAAGCTTTATCTGAACCGATTTCGATCAAATTTGGTATACTTATTTTCAGGCCTAATTTGGTTGTATGTGCAAAATTCCATACTATTCGGGCTAATATTACACGTTTTGTGCACAATAAAACACAAACCGGACGAAGATATATATGGGAGTGATATCCAAAACTGAACCGATCTCGATAAAATTTGGGAAAGGTATTTTTGTGCTGTATTTGTATATTTCCCCAAATATCGTTGTTACGGCTGCGGAGGACAAAAATATCACATCGGAAGAACAACATATATGGGAGCTGTAGCTTTATCTGAACCGATTTCGATCAAATTTTATCACGTTTCCTTTTGCCTGTTACAAACAAATGCACAAAGACATAATATCCTCATCCTGGTGTTGTGTATAAAAATACAAATACGGAATATAGCCGGTATATTGAGGTCTATACGAAGACGTGGACCTGCATAGGCAACTTTTGTCATAAGCCATTACAATATTTAAATACAAAACTTGAAAAAAATCCGGTGAATAAGGTAGCTAAAATCATCAAAATACCGAATATAGGGAGGTACAGTTATATCGGGGCTATACGAAAACCTGGAGCTGCATAGACAATTTTCTGTCATTTTATGTAGTTCCTAGTTCCTATTACGAACTCTAAATGCGAAATTTGAAACTACTCCGGTAAATAATGTCGTTAAAATCACCAAAATAACAAATATAGGGAGGTTTTGATATATTGGGCCTATACGAAAATCTAGGCCTGCATAGACAATTTTCTGTCACAGACTGTAGTTTCCATTACGAACTCTAAATACGAAATTTGAAACAACTACGATGAATAATGTCGCTACAATCCTCAAAATACCGAAATTTTTCACAAATCATTTGTTTGGCCCAAGGACGAACCCTACTGAAATTGGAGATAATGGGTATAAAATTTAGATATAGCTCCCATATATATCTTCGTCCGATTTGACTTTTATTGTGCACCAAACGAGTAATATCAGCCCGAATAGTATGGAATTTTGCACATACAACCAAATTAGGCCTGATAATAAGTATACCAAATTTGATCGAAATCGGTTCAGATATAGCTATAGCTCCAATATATAATGTTTATCGGATTTGTTATTTTAGTCTTCCGCAGCCGTAATATGCCCTCTGTAACAACAATATTTGGGGAAATATATCAAATGCAGCTCAGAAATACCTTTGCTAAATTTATCGAGATCGGTTCAGATTTGGATATATCTCTCATATATAACTTCGTCCGATTTACCTTTTATTGTGTACCAAACGTCTAATATTTGCCCAAATTGGAATTGGAATGAAATTTGGCACTTACGACCGAATTGAGTCTAGAAGCTAGTATATCAAATTTGGTGAAGATCGATTCATATATATATATATAGCTCCCAAAGATACTGTTCATCCAATTTGTCATATTTGTTACCCACAGCCGTAATATGCACTCCGTAACAACGATATTCAGGGAAATATATCAAATAAGGCTTCGAAATATCTTTGCCAAATTTTATCGAGATCCTTTCCGATTTGGATATAGCTTCCATATATATTTTTATCCGATTCCAAATTAATTGTGCACCAAATACAAGTACAATACAAGTCCGAATTTAAAAGATACAAATGCTTCGGCATATTTAGTCTTTGAACTTTAAATTCTACTTATAATCATAGCGTGTATGATTGAATTCTCCCATAAAAACTTTTAATTGTTATGCGGAGCTCTACTACATTAGCAAAGTGGTGTAGGGTATCATAAAGTCGGCCCCGCCCGACTTTAAGACTTTCTTTACTGGTTTTGTATATGCGTACACTAATTGTACTAAATAGTACAATTATATACTACTATAATTCTACTAAATAGGGCAAATATAGTCCGCATATGCGAATTATAGTACAAAAATGCGTATTGTCTGAGAAATACTAAGTGGTAATAAATTGGGTATTAGATGAAGGAATAGATCTGAAACCCCGAAATTTCATGTTGAGGTCTCTTGCTATCTGGGATTGAGATATGGAGATCGTTTTGTAATTAATTGTACGAAAAGTCCTTAATAGTGCTAAATTTGGTATTGGATGAAAGAATAAAACTGAAATCCTGAAATTTGATATGGATACCACTGTTAGTGTCTGCAGTTGAGAGAAGAAGCTGTTTTTGTTGTTGTAACAGTACTAAATTGTACTAATTTTGGATCACTGTTGATGTGTGTCTAGGATGGAGAGATGTAGATTTTTTTTAAAATATACGTACTAAATTTTACTAAATTTGGTGTTGGGTGAAGAGGTATTGGGTATAGTACCAAAAAGGCCAAACCAGATCTGTTGGAACGAATCTAAAATTTTTAATGTCGACTTTTCGCTAACGAAATAGCGGGCACTTGCTGGATTTATAAAAAATAATGTTGGGCTTTTTGGGAGAGGTTGCTGGAAGCGTAATTTTTGAATTTTCGATTTTTTGCATCTGACATTACTTGGTATTAATATCAATGGTTCTCGTCACTGATTACAAATCAACTTACTAACCCATAATTTTAGAATTAATTTTCCGCTACTTTTTTGAAAATTTTAAATTTTGTGGTGAGGTGGACCAATGTTGTCCATTTTCGAACTCAATCTAATTTTGACAAAAATATTAAAAATTGGCAGGTTAGATCAAATCAAATACTCCATTTTATAGTTTTTGTGCGGTCCAGCTATAGATCGGCTCTAAAGAAGCATTAGTATGCAGAACCGATATTTGAATACAATCGAAAAATATAATTTTTTTTATTACAATTTCAGAATAATTTTAATGGTCATTTCGACATTGAAATTACGATATTTTAATAATATTTTTTTTAATGATATTTGATCGGAAAATTAAACTTTATTTTATTACAATTTAGAAAAAAACACTAATATTTTCAAATCTGCCATTGGATCTTTCCGATTTTCTCCCTAATGAATTGGGTGAAGATATGAATCATAATAGCCATGATAAGGGTTATTGTCGTATCCACTGTGATGTTGACTATGATCGTCGTCATCGTGTTTATATTCAACATGATGTTTATCGTCATGTTTATATTCAATATGATGTTCATTATGATGATGTTCATCATGACCATCGTCATTATAATGATGTTCATCATGATGATGTTCATCATCATAATGGTGTTCATTGTGATGATCATCTTTATGATAACCTTCGGGGTGTTCAGCATGACCAATTGTCTTGACTTCAGCATGGAAACCGGTATGATCATCTGCATGATAGTTAACCACACGTATAGTGCCATCAGCTTCTTTTAAGAGATAGCCACCTGGAAATGCATAGCAGGGTAAAATGGCAAGAAAATAAAAAAATAGTAAATATTATTACCATGGACCTTGTCGCCATCACGTTCCTCCCATTGTTCTTTTATGTCTTCGGTTTTTAAATCCTTAACACCATATTTGTATTCATATTTGGGATGGGAATAATAATCGTGATGACCCTCCTGATGGTCTTCGTGATGACCCTTATGGTCATCATCATGATGATCCTTATGGTGATTATCATGATGAACCTTATGATGTTGATGATAATTATCCTCATGTCCGTAGTGACCATGAGCCATGGTCGTTGCGACACACAATGACACAAAAATGGCAATAATTGCAAATTTCATTTTCAATTTTTTTTTAATCTCTTACTGCCAATTCTAAAAAAGCCAAAAGGAACTGATACCAAATTTCGATCGAACTTAGTATTTATACTACGTGTATTATGGACAAAAAAATGTTATACTTATTTGCATAACCCATGTTAGTATCGCAAGTTTATTGCAATGAATTTTATGCAGTTTAGAATCATGATTAAATGCGGCAATAAAAATGATTCGAATTGTATATTTTTTGTGTATTTTTTAGGCAATAAAAACCTAGGTACCTATTAAATTATATGGCTATCAAAGACAATGTGATTTAATGGTGTTGAAAAAAAGTTTGTAATTGATTTTTACCGTTGCCGGTATTATTTTTTTTAGTTCCGCATCGAATTATGCAGAAATTTAAATATTGCAGTATTTGTATTCTGTTAAGTGTGCCTTAGACACCTAAGATACCAATTTGATATAAGAATCTAAAACCTTAAATTCCAATAGCTGCACCATGTCTAGTTAGGCAATAGAAGGGATTTGAAAAAAAGGGATAAGATATTGTGAAATTGTTCGTAAAATATAAAGATAAAAGAAGACATTGAAAAACACCGATATTTTTTTAAAAATTCAAAATATTTGAATTTTCAAAAATTCAAATTTATTTGAATTTTCAAAAATTCAAATTTATGCCCATAAATCCTTTAAAAATCATAGATTTTCGGGATACAAGTCCTTGAAAAAATATTTGCGACATTATTCACCGGAATTGTTTCAAATTTGTTATTTGAAGTTCGTAATGGATGTTACAGGCTGTAACAGAAAATTTTCTATGCAAGTCCAGGTCTTCGTATAGCTCTGATGTAACGGTACCTCCCTATGTACAGGGTTTAAACGATTTCAGCTACATTATTCACCGTTTATTTCAAGTTTCGAATTTGAAAATGATAATGACTTATGACAACAATGATTTGAACAGAATCTTTAACGGTTTTTATTCTTTTGAAAATTTCCACAATCGTTCAAATGGTGGAGGGTGTTCAAAGTTCGGCCTGGCCGAACTAGAGACGGTATATATCATTTGATCCGCCCGTCTGTCTGTCTGCCTGGTTCATACGATAACTCTCGAAAGGAGTATCCGATTTCATTCAAACATAGAAAAACACCGATATTTTTTTTTAAAAATCAAATTTATTTGAATTTTCAAAAATTCAAATTTTTTGCCCATAAATCCTTTAAAAATCATAGATTTTCGGCATACAAGTCCTTGAAAAAATATTTAATTCCCCCAAATTGATAGACGTTTATTGAGGTTGCAAGTAATCTATTGTATTAAATACAATTGCCATGGAATGCTTATTATGATTTTGCATACAATAAATCGGATGATATTGTACATTTTCGCACCTGACCATGCACTGTTTAAATATTAGGATTTGCATTTCCTTTCTCTTTCTGTGTAGTAAAATATTCTCTTTGAAAATTTCGAAATTGTAGGGAAAGGTGCCAAGAAGAATGAACCTATATTGCCCATGCCCGAACTCAAACTAAGTTTGATATTAATATTAGGATGTACCATGTTGGACCAAATTGGATGTTCCCTTCGAAAGTTATCCTGCGCACCAACCAGACAGACCTATGGACGGACATGGCTGAATCGACTCCAAATGTCCTAAAACGGATTTGGTCAAAGAGGCCTAGGGTCTAAACGAATTATTTCGATAGGGCACGTTTTGGCCGTATCACATGATATAAAGGGAGAGATGAAAAACTGCAACCAACTTCAGACTGCTGTCATTTCTAAGCCACTCATCCGACAGCTGTTAAAATTATTCCTGTGATACCTCTTTATATTATTTACAAGCTTACAAAAGCATTTTGGTGAGAATTTGCAGAAATACGTGATAGTGTGATTTCTTTATATTTGGCTGGAAAACCACAAGTGGCTATCGTTAGGGCACTTCAGCATTTAAATGTGAATAAATATTTTTTGTCTCGTACCATCGCTCATTACCGTGATATTGGTAGCGTAGCCCGACGTCAAGGAAGTGGACGAAAGAAAAGCGCAATATCAGCAGAAATGGTTCAAAAAGTAAAGAAGCGACTTGATCGAAACCAGCTTCGCAGTGGCCGAAAAATGGCTCGTGGGCTGAACATATCGCAATATTCCATTCAGCCAATATTGAAAAATGAGTTCGGGGTAATGTTTTTGAAATTCCAAAAAGTGCAAGAATTTACACCGCAAAATAGACTTAAAAAAAACTAAAGAGTTGCTTTGCTTGGCCGAAAGTGGTGAACTTCCGAAATTGGTTTTCTCCGATGTCCAGCAGTTTGTAAACAAACAAAATGATAGTGTTTACTTGCCAAAGAGGTCAGTTGAAAATGTGCACCTGCGGTTGGCCACCAGAACTCAAGCGTCTGCCATGGTGATGGTGTGGATCGCCATAACAGCCGATGGTCGCTCTCCGCTCGCATTAATCGACCGTGGCATCAGAATAAATGCCGAATATTATCGCAAAAATATTCTGGAGAGTGTATTAAAGTCTTGGGCATTTTGGCCACAGACGTTAGACATTCCAACAGGACTCAGCACCATCGCACTCAGCACTCGCCACCCAAGAATGGTTACAAAATGATGTTCCTCGCATCATTTCTAGCTCACAATGGCCACCAAAATCTCCGGATACCAATCCGTTGGATAATTGTGTCTGGAGTATTTTTGAAAGCAAGGTTGGCACTAAAAAATACCAAAGTGTCGATCACCTCAAACAAGCGCTTCGCCGGAAATGGGCCAAAATACCGCAGAGCAACATTCGGGCAGCGTGTTACGGTTTCATTGGCCGTCTGAAGGCCATGATGCGTGGCAAAGGTGAACAATTCGAACAAATCTAAATTTATTCTAAAATTTAATGCTATTTCCGAAATTTTCATTCATAAAATTAAAAAAAATGTAAAAATTATGGCTTTTGATTTTGTTGCAGCAACCTATATAACTGAAATAGGAAGAATCCAAAGAATCTTAATCCGGACAAATAAGAAATGAAACAAAAAGTAACTTTCTTCCCTGATTTTAGTTACTTGTAGATTTAAACTTTCAAAACGTCGATGAACGTGTTTTCTATTTCTAGATCTATCTTCAAAGTCTAATTAATTTTCCCGTTTATCTTATGCTGCGCAGTGTAATTAAATTCCTTCATAACAAATCACAGTTTTGCAATATTTTCAATATATATTTACAATACAATCTACATACATATTTTTTACAACATGCCAGTATCACAGCATCGATAGCAACAGTAAACTTCCGAATCTGAATCTTATTTTGATGCACTTCTTTAATGGTGCTTCACTTTAACAAAGCTGGTGGCATGACCGTGATGATCACCACTGTAATAATCATGTCCGTGATGGTCGTCATGTTTATGGCTGCTGTGGTGATCATCATGTTCCACATGATTGGTATATTTTACAACATGCTCCTTGCCGTCATTATGAGAGGAGGCGGAATAGTGGTGTTTGGCATTGTCACTATGGTGGCTGTTGTGTTCGACATGATGATCATGATGTCCATGGTGTTCTTCGTCATGGTGACTATGATGAGTTTCAGGATGTTTGGCATGACCAATTGTTTTGACATCAGCATGGAAGCCACTGTGATCATCAGCATGATAGTTAACGACACGTGTGGTGCCATCAGCCTCCTTCAAGAGGTAGCCGCCTATGGAAATTAAACATTTTAAAAATTATTAAAATTAATTCATATCTTAATTTGAAAAAGAAGTAACTTTACCATGTACTTTATCGCCATCACGATGTTCCCATTGCTCCTTAATATCCTCGGTTTTCAAATCCTTGACACCATATTTGAATTCATATTTGGGATGAGAATAATGTTCATGCTTGTGATCATCATCATTACCATGGTGATCATGAGCCATGCTCACAGCACACAGAGCAACAAAAGCAGCAATGGCAAGGAAACGCATGTTTTTTTTTGCTTTTTTTTGGAATTGATTAACCTGTCGAATAAAGTCACACAATTGATACGATTTTTTGTATGAGAGTATTGTATTTATACCAATTTATATTTAGTGACTTTCATATGTAGCTTATATTTTGTACAAATACATAATATATTGCATGCTAATAGTTTATGAGCTATGAACAGGTGTACTGCAGTTTTAAATTAATAGTTCATAAAAAAGCTATTTGATACTTCGATCGTTGTGATGCATATTTTTGTACTAATTAAGATAGTTCAAATTTTGATATCTCCATCTACATACAACTTAACAACTTTTTGCTAGACAAACTTTGTTTTTTGCCCGAAACGATTGTAAAAGGAATCCTATGTGGTAGGAACATTTAAGGGACAATAGGCAAAGTGGAGCCCAATATCAGACCCTTTTTATCTGAATTTAGCTCGGAGGGACCAAAATTGCCCCCCGAAAATCAGGAAACGAAAAATTAGTCAACATTTCAAAATTAGATGAAAATTCTTCCAAATAAATATTTCAGTCACCCTTTTAATGGTTTTAGACCCTAGGTCTCTTTGGATCAAATTCGTTTCAGGACATTTGGAGTTGATATAGCGATGTCCGTCCGTCCGTCCGTCTTTTTATCTGTTTGGCTGGTGCGCACGATAGCTCTAGAAGGGAGTATATGATTTGGTCCAAACATGGTACATCATAATATTATTTTTAAACTTAGGTCGGATATGGGTAATATCGGTCCACACCTTCTGGTAACTACCTCACAACATATATAAATAGCAAAATGTTTTACTACACAGAAAGAGAAAGGATAATCCGATTTTTCTCCAGCTATACAAATCGTAACATTTGCTAGGCCAGGTTTGAAAATGGACAATATCGGTTCACTCCAACAAGTACCTCCCCCATAAAAGGGTCAACATTTTGAATAATTATAACTCTTATAAAATGCGATGTACGAAACCGATTGTCTTCAATTTATACACATCACAATATTTTTATTAACCCAAGGTCTGGTGTGAACATGGAATATATTAGTCCATCTCATACTGGTAACTACCCCACAAAGGGTCAAAATTTTGAATATCCATGAAGCTCATAAGACGCGAAATTAACATCCGATTCCATTCAGACTGAGTAAATCTCAATAATTCTATAAACACCAGATCTGTTATAAAGATGGTATACATCGGACAATTCCTTTTAGTACCTCCCCCAAAAAGTGTCAAAGTATTGAATAACCAAAACGATTATAAAATCCGAATAAAGCATCCTGTTCTCTTCATATTTTACAAATGCCATAATTTTTACTAACGCAAGATCTGCTTTGAAGATGCAATGTATTGGCCCACTTCTTCTGGTACCTCCTCCACAAAGGGTCAACATTTTGAATATCCATGAAGCTCATAAACGCGAAATTAACATTCCATTCCATTCAGATTTGGTACATCTCAATATTTCCCTTTCAAACACAAGATCTGTTATAAACATAGTAGAGATCGGAATATTTCTTCTGGTAACTCCCCCACAAAGATCAAAATATTAAATAACCAAAACGATAATAAAATCGGAAAAAGGATCTTGTTTTCTTCATATTTCGCAATTCCCATAATTTCTACTAACACAAGATCTGCTGTGAAGATGGAATATATCGATCCACTCCTTCTGGTACCTCACTCACAAAGGGTCAACATTTTGAATATCCTCACAAAATACGAAATTAACATCCGAATCCATTTAGACTTGGTACATCTCAATATTTCCATTGAAACAAGATCTGTTATGTATATGGTAGAGATCGGACTACTTCTTCTGGTACTTCCCCCACATACGGTTCAAGAAACAAAATGTTCCTAAAACGCGAAATAAGCATCCAACTCTCTCTTTAAATTTTCAACACACAAACATTTTTGCTAACACAAGGTCTGTTGTGAAGATCATATATATATGCGGACCCCTTCTGGTACCTCACCCACAAAGGGTCACAATTTCCAATGCCAATATCTGTCATAATTTGCGAAAAAAGTCGGCGATGCTATACACCTTGCCTTACCTAAATAGTTCTTTTAAGCAGAAATCTGATATGAATATTATACGGAATTTATAATTTCGTATAAAATTGGATATGAATGTTCGATTTCCTTTAAATTTTGCACATACCAATATTTTTTGTCATCATTAGATGAAGTGGAATATTTCAGTCCGCTATATCTAGTACCTCACGTATATTTCCACATTTTCCAAAAATTTACACATATCTCATATAAAGTACAGGGATTAGACGATATAGTCCAAATATGGCACGTTGTAATATTTCTTTTAGACTTAGAACAGATACGAAAATATTGGCCAACTACTTCGGAACCTCCTCGATAAAGGGTCAATTAGTTAGAATAATCATAACTCAAGGCTGGGGTATACCTCTGTCGGCAAAATCGACTGATATTATTTTACTTGTTAATAGGTCAATTTGGCCTAGTTGAAAGAATGAGATATTTGCCGACTTTTCTTCTATGGTCTCTTAAATTTTCCTAATACCTGGGTTTCCTTTTACTGAGTTTTCGGGTAAAGGAAACGATTTTCTAGCAAAAATTATATTGAGTTATTATATTATCGGGAATGGAGAAAATAAAATCTGAACTTGAACTTATTTGGTAAAAAAATATATGGATCACAATGATCGAAGTAAAATATAACAGTAGTTTTATCAGATTTATTTTTTTTTTGTACAAACCATTAATTTTTAACTACAGTACAGCTGCTTATAGGTTATAAAACTATAAGCATAGACCATATATGCATTTATGCAAAATATAAACTAAATAAATTTCAGTATAAATACAATGCTCTGCAACGAAAAATTAGTATCAGTTGTGTGGCTTTATTCGACAGATTAATCAGCTCCAAACAAAAAAAAAAAAAAAAATCAACAACATGCGTTTCCTTACCATTGCCGTTTTTGTTGGTCTGTGTGTTGTGGGCATGGCTCATGATCACCATGGTTATGGTCATGATGATGATCATAAGCATTATTCTCATCCCAAATATGAATTCAAATATGGTGTCAAAGATTTGAAAACCGAGGATATTAAGGAGCAATGGGAACACCGTGATGGCGATAAAGTTCATGGTAAAGTTACTTCTTTATGAAATAAGGATATGAATTAATTTTAATAATTTTTAAAATTTTTAATTTTCATAGGCGGCTACCTCTTGAAGGAGGCTGATGGCACAACACGCGTTGTTAACTATCATGCCGATGATCACAGCGGGTTCCATGCTGATGTCAAAACAATTGGCCATGCCAAACATCCTGAAACTCATCATAGTCACCATGATGATGAACACCATGACCATCATGTCGAACACAACAGCCAACATAGTGACAGTGCCAAACACCACTATTCCGCCTCCTCTCATCATGATGATAAGGAAAAAGTTGTAAAATATACCAGCCACGTGGAACATGATGATCACCACAGCAGCCATAAACATGACGGTCAACACGGACATGATTATTACAGCGGCGATCATCACGGTCATGCCACCAGCTTTGTTAAAGTGAAACATCATTAAAGAAGTACTGCATAATAAGATATCGGTTCGAGCGATCATTGTTACTATCAATGCTGTGATTGCGTTCTCAATAAATAATCAAAATAATGCAAAAAATTGTTCTTAGTACAAACAAGTAAAAAAGCTGTATGTTCGGCCGGGCCGAAATTTGAATAGCCTCCACCATTTGGTACAAATTTGGCAATTTTCCAAAAAATAATCTGTTAAAAATTATGTTTAAATCTAAATCTAAAACCGAATGTAGCCATAGACCCTAATATAGGTTCTATACAACGACGTGGACCTGCGTAGGCAACTTTAGTCACAAGCTATTACAATATTCAAATGCGAAACTTGAAAAAAATCTGTTTATAATGTAGCTTAAATCATCAAAATACCGAATATAGGGAGGTACCATGGGGGTTATAAAACGTGGCCATGCACAGACAATTTTCTGCATAGACTATACCCATTTTAAATACCAAAAGTCCTGCAGACATAATATACATTTGAGTAAAATTTTATCAATCTAATTCAATTCGTTCGGAGTGATTTCCACAGACGGACAGATGGACGGACATTATGCTGATCAAGAATATATATACTTTGTGGGGTCTAAAATGTATATTTCGAGGTATTACGAACGGAATGACAAACTTAATATAAAATCCATGCTATGGTGGAGGGTATAAAAAGTGCAAGAACTTACACCGCAACAGAAAGAAAATAGACTCAAAAGAGAGTTGCTTCGCTTGGCCTAAAGTGGTGAACTGCCGAATTTGTTTTTCTCCGATGAGAAAACATTTGATGTCCAGCAGTTTGTAAACAAACAAAAATCATCGTCTTTACTTGCCAAGGAGGTAAGCTAAAAATGTGCACCTTCAGTTGGCCAACAGAACTCGCGTTCTTCGCTTCATTTCCAGCGCACATGACCACCAAAATCTCCGCATACCAATCGGTTGGACTATTGTGTCTGGAGTATTTTGGAAAGCAAGGTTGGCACTAGAAAATACCAAAGTGTCGACCACCTCAAGCAAGCGCTTCGCCGGGAATGGGCCAAAATACCGCACAGCAACATTCGGGCAGCGTGTGACGGTTTCATTGGCCGTTTGAAGGCTATATTTCATGCCAAAGGTGACCAATTTGAACAAATCTAAACTTTTTTTTTAAATTTTATGCTATTTCCGACATTTTTTACTTTCATTCAATAAAATTTAAAACACAAGTAAAAAGGCTGTAAGTTCGGCCGGGCCGAACTTTTAATACCCTCCACCATTTGGAACAAATTTGGCAATTTCCAAAAAAAAACCGTTAAAAATTCTGTTAAAATCTTAAAAATACCGAATGCTTATACGACGACGTGGGCCTGCATAGGCAACTTTTGTCATAAATTATTACAATATTTAAATGCGAAACTTGAAGAAAAATCTGTTTATAATGTAGCTAAAATCGTCAAAATACCGAATATGGGGGGTACCGTTATATG